CTAGTTCACATCTTCTCCATAGTACAGGGACACAGTCAACTTGAAATCTGGTCATTCTCAAAAAGAGTTTCAAATAGTCTCAGATACTGAACATGCCCTGAGTCCCCCTGCTAACTCTTTGATTTACATTCACATTTACCTATCTTTAAAATATTTTTTTTCTTTTAATGCTATGTGAAAGACCCATACTAACAGGGAAGGCTGACTTAGTTCTCGTCCCCCACTACTATTTTGAACCAAGTTTGTAAAATGTTATAGCCATGGTCAGCTAAGTGTTTCCATGCCAAATGCCATGGCTGGCTGTCTTCTAACCTGGTTTGACCAGTCCTCCTTCCTCACAGCATCATGTATAGTGAGACATCCCAGATGCATTATGCCATGTGCTGCTATGTGTGTATGTCACCCGGGAATTGTAAGCCTTATTAAGGTACCATGGGAAAATTGCCCAGCTTGCACTTATACAAATGGTTAGGCAGCATGTAGCTGGACAAACATAGATGTGATGTCAGGAAGGCTTCTTTATGGACACAAAGTGAACAGTTACTTGTAACTGGTTAAGTTGATAGTGCCTCTAACTGGTTATAAACTAATGTTTTTGGTGTGTTTTTGTTTGGTATTGTGACTGAGTATAAAGGGGAAATGGTGAAACACATGGTTCTGCAAAGTGCTTTTGAATATGCAAAGTAAACAGTGTGTGTGGGGGGGGGGAAATAGATTTTTTCCCCCACTAATCTTTGTTAGTTTTTTTTTTTTACTATTGTTATGAGTATCCTCCAAGTAAAAGCAATTTCAGATTGAAGTTATTGTTTTGTTTAAGTTGACAGTGTCCTTACAAACAATCTCAAAGAAGTTCAGTTTTTTCACTTTTACAGTTCCTCTGATCTCTAGAATAATCTGTTCCCCCTTTTTTTGTATGGTACGGTCTGTAGACTAGTGCAGTGCAGACCTTCCTCTTGCTTTTGATAAGAACTCACTTGTAGAGTTGGCTTGATACTGAATGAAGCCCAGTTTTGCATTCAACAGGTATACTTTTGGATTGTATAGCTCTTGAACAATCAATATTGCCTCTACAGGTGAAGAAATAAGAATACACTTTTTTTGTAACAAAAAATTGATTTGAAATCTTAAAATGCCACTGTTAGGTACTATAGCATTTTGTAAGGTCACAAATTGTGACATTGTCAATTAGTTACTGAAAACAAATGCATATTCCATGTTGGGAAAACAAAAAGGTACCATGTTATTTCCCTATTAATAGCAGTACCTATTTTTGCTGCGTCTTTTTAAGTTCTTTTGCCAGGCCCATTACCATGGTGTCAAAATGCCACTGAGCCAGCAGAATTGTTGCAGGCTGTCCTGTCGCTTGATATTCAGGGAGTCCTTAATTTGTGGATCCTCAATGCTGTACTATGAAAAGGCTATTTTTAAACCTTTTAAAGATCTGTATTAAAAGTTCATGTTTAGGGAGACTTTAATTTGAAGAATGCTGCATATGAAGTAGATTAAAAAGAGGAGAGATTAAAATCACAAGGACTGTTTAGTTTAGAAAAAACAGTGAGCGAGAGAGATGGTAGAAGTGAGTGTTTTTTGGTTTGTTTTTAAGGTATTGAGAAGGTCAGATGTGTGCTTCTGTTTACCCTTTACTATAATACATAATTGAGAGGGCACTTGCAATCAAAAGGCAGTGAATTTAGAATTGATAACCTTAAAGATTCTTATGTAATATAATGAATCCATGGAACTTGTTACTGCAGGATATTGTTCTGGCCCATAATTTAGTAAAACTCAGTGGAGGATTGGCTAATGTATATAAGTAAGAATAACTTCTGCAATAGAGGGGCTGTTCTTTCTCCTACTTCATTGTGTGACCGGATCTCCAGCCGGCGTAGGAAAAAATGTATCCTCATTGTTTAGTATTGCACACTTTGGTGCATTAATGAAAACTTTGTGCTTTCCTCTGAATTATTCATCTATGGTCTCAATTATATGGGCCATTGGTCTGATCCACAAAAAAATCCTTCTGTGGCAGTCCTGTCCTTGTGGGCTAGCATCCTTTGTTTATTCTTATGTTTGTGGAATTATCTGTAAATTATTATATTTACAGAAACTCCTATGTGAGCAAAGGGAATCCCTCATTTTGCCCTCAAAGTAATTTAATAAGTGTGACCCTTTAAAAAAAGCATTGCCCCTTTTTTCGCGCTCCCTTCCCCCAATTTTTTTCCCCAAAGATCAAACAGTCATCTCTACAGTAGTATTTTAAAGGATTTTGCTTTGGGGTTTGTAAGTAACAATAATGCTGTGGGACACTATTTCCCTCCAGTCTACAACTATTAATTTAGGCTTGTAATAACTGTCTAAAAACATCCTTTGTATTGTGCATCAGATGTGTGTGGGGGATAGCCACAGGTTGGAATAGAGACAGACCTCATAAATCTTTGCGTAGTTTGTTTATATATGTCTGTAGTCAGATTACTTGAACATTAACCATTCTTTCAGTTTGAAAAACCTTCAGTCCTAGGTATGCAGCAACAAAATAAAAATGGAGCTTGTAACTTGGGGCTTTAATTAAATTGAAGGGATCATGCACTCTTAAGCCTGCCATGTATTTCCTCTGCTCCCAGTCAGGGGAATCCCACATGGCTGTTGAACAGACACATTTGCCCCCCCCCCCACACACACACTCTCTTCCTTAACTCTTAAACCAATTGCTTGGCATGGTAGGGTTCAGAAGGGAGGGTGTGAAATTCATATTTTTCCACCTTTCCTTCCTGAAGTGCAGAGCTAGCTGCTCCAGTTGGCCTGTGTATGGAAGGGAGACGAGGAAAGGAGTGCTGTACAAATAATTGTATCCCTTCAGAGATCCTGGCTTTCCTTCCTACCCTTTTCTTCATGATGGGGGTGGGGGCGTGTCTTGACTGTCTTAGCCGCACTCTGTTTCAGCTGCTGTTGTTACTGAATGTCCTAATGCTTGCTCAGTCTGTCTCCTTTGGCAGCTTGCACAGTGAGATTCCCTTTCTGTTGTAAGAGACAAACAGTTGTGCTAGAAGGAGCCACTTTTGTAGCTGGCACCAGGGATTGCAGAGGTGACAAATACCAGGACTTGCAGGGAGAGGACTGCCTGCAGCAAGGCATTAGACAGGAGAGTCTTCCCTTAGTTCAGGTGTGGTGAAAGGGGATGTATGGCTGGGAGGGCTATAGGGGCTGTAGAAAAGGTCTGTAAGAGGTGCGGGGGGACATTCAGATCTCCCTCAACATGTTAATTATCCTCATTTCTTCCACTTGTAAGAGTATGGGAGGAGATTTGCCTCTCTGCCCATGAAAGAGAAATTTGAAGTTCTGAGATAAAGATAAATTAGTTCTGATAACACTTCACTGTCCTATTAGCAGGGAATAGGGATGGATTATTTGATTCCTGAGCCACGTGTTAAATGAGATGTTTGATCCTAGCCCAGGAAAGACCTTTTTAGCACATTATTTCCTATTTTTGTCACAAGCAGCCTAAGAGGTCTTATTTTTAATTTTTTAATGAAATATACTATATTGTATTATGTACTTATATTTTGCTCAGTATTTAACTTTTGGGATTTTTTGTTCGTGATGGATGTTAAGATGTTGGTCTTCACAGAAAAATGAAAGCTGGGTAGTTAATTGGAGGATTAGTGTAACATGTTTGGGAAGGAAATAGCATTTCTTTTGTACGGCTGCAAAACCTTAAACAATTGAGCATCCTGTACTATCCTCTATAAATATAACATGGAAGCTCTCTCAGTCATCTGGCTTTAGCCTGGAGTTTCCTTTTTTTCTACATCAAATTTGTTTGAGAGAGATTTTCTTTCTAAAAATCTAGCTTCCAAAATATCAGATAAATTAGGCGTGATTTCTCCCTTGCAGTCCACTATCATGTCTTGCTTGATGCTGTGGTGAAGTTATCTTATGCTGAACATCAGTGTATTGCCCCTGAAATGATTACTTCTACAAATTCAGCATTTTGACTTCCGTGTAGAATCTGGTGGGAGGAGAAGAGGTGGTGAGGGGCCAAGGCCTTGTTTACACAAATAAAGTAACATTGATTACTGGGGGGGGAAAGAAAGAAAGAAAGAAAAGTAAGAAATAATGAAAAAAACAGATAAGATATAATTTGAAAGTCAACGAGCTGTTAACAATCTTAAAAACTACTTTAGAGGTAAAATTCCCTCTTTTGGAAGAAGTTGTGAATTTTATAGTAATAGACAGGCCTGTTAGCCCATCCCTGTAACCAGGAGTAGCACAAGCTATTCTTTATATATCTGCTAGCATACCTGAGTCCATGTATGTAACAGCCTCACTATGATTGTCTAGGTCTCTCCTGGGCATGCGTTACAAATTTAGATGACTTGCTTCTGATTATATGTGATTTTGTGAGGTGAACAAAATGTCCAGTAGGGACTAGAACAAAGATGGCCAGACTACCACGTGTGGGCTTCCAGTTCTCCTCTTATCTGTAGCATAATATTTTATGTAGTAGCAGAAACTTCCATGTGTATTTGTCTGCCCACTAGCAACATTGCCCCAGAGAGTATACAAGTGGACAGTTGCCTGCTTCCTATTTCCCATGGCAACAGAAATAGAGTTGGGAGACTGGCCCAGCTTAAATCAGAAGTAATTGGGTGTTTCAACCCAGCTGGGGATGTTGGTTGGGAATGATAACTGGCAGGCAGCCAATATCTGTGGTCTTTAGTAGTACAGTGTATCGATAAGAGAGATGACAAACCCTGAGACTGGTGCAGCTGGCAGCCTGATTTTTGCAGTGACTTTGAATCCATGTGCTGGAATGTTTGCCTGCTCTTGGGCCAGATCTTGACTATCAGACTTCTTTCCACTTCTGAACCAAAGAACTTAATTTAAGTCCTCAGAGGCATATTCTACAGGATTATTTAATTTATGATTTTGAATAGCAAACTGGCCATTTAGTTACATTTGCAAATCTTGTGCCACTATCTTTGTCTCTGTCTTCATTCTAGTTTTTGATGATGGAGATGAGAGGACGTTGAGACGAACTTCATTGTGCTTGAAGGGGGAGAGACACTTTGCAGAAAGTGAGGTAAAGAGATGTTAACTTTTCTTCAAGCTGGAAAGTAAAAGTCTTTACATTGTGGAAGAATTGCAAGCTGATTTATATTCCCATCTTCTCCTAGACACTTGACCAACTGCCACTAACAAATCCAGAGCACTTTGGAACTCCAGTAATTGGGAAGAAATCCAACAGAGGAAGAAGATCTTCTCTTCCTGTGTGAGTTTTTTATAATTCTCTATATGCTACTTTTTTACCTTATTGTCCTTTGCTAAAGTCTGATGACCCTAGAATTTCAATGGGACTATTCATGTGTGCCTAGCAGACAGAATTTGGTCTTAAATGACTAAAAAGAGTGATGTAGGAGGGATGAAACAGTCATTATTTTGTCATGTAGTATATTCACAGCATATATTTGAAAACAGCTCATCTTGTCGGGCACTAGCTTTAAAATGTAATCACTTCCAAATTTATGAAAAAAGTTTATCTGGTATATGAGTAAATCTAGGATTTTCAACATGCTTAGGCATTTAAACTGGTAAAACTGTACATACGGAATCTTCAGGTTTGTAAGCTCTTTGGGGCAGGAACGCTCTTTGTTCTGTGTTTGTACACACCTAGCACAGTGGAGGCCTGTTCCATGATTGGGGCTCCCAGGTAGTACTGCAATACAAATACAGTAATTATAATTGTGAGCACAGAGGGACTTCAGCAAATCAAACTCCTTTTACTTAATTTATGCTCTTTTACTATTTCAGTTTTTTCAAGTTCAACCTTTTGCTTTTAAAAATTAGTTTTAGTGGCCCTAAACCAGTATTTTACTGCTGCTCTTATGAGTTATATTTCCTCACAATTCTCATCTTCAAATTAAGGCTGTTTTAAAATATTGTATGCTTAATCCTCTAGCACTGAAGATGAAAAAGAGGAAGAAAGTAGTGAAGAGGAAGAGGAAGATAAGAGACGTCTTAATGATGAATTGCTTGGCAAAGTTGTCAGTGTAATTTTTTGTTCGGAGAAGACTGACTGGTATCCGGCTTTGGTAAGTAACAAATGATTGGGATATCCACAGTATAATGCCTTCAGAATACTATGTTTTGCTTATTTGGGGGGGGTGAAAGGGTGTTTTGAATCTGTGTCAAACCCCCACTCGTGTCACTTCACACTACAGCTCCTTCCTTCCTCTATACTTGAACCGCACTACTTGCAGACATTGCAGCTCCTGGAGCAAGACTTGGGGATAGCCATCAAACTCGGGACTCCCTAGGCAGCAGGCTCATGCTGAATACATGTTTTGGGGTTGTCATTTTTTGTTTTTACAATTTAGGTGAGCAATAGAAAAATAAATATTCTGAGAAGTATTGAAACTTGTATCAGGTTTATGGCTCTGACTTCAGTAAAAAGCGATACTTAAAAAAATCTATATTTTTTTGGTAATATTGATCTTTCAACAAAATCAGATCTATTAAAACTACTACCTGTTGGTAATGTAAAACTACATTTCTAATCCTTTTTCTTTGTTTAAAATTTATAAATGCACGTGTGTGCTCTGCATATTATAGTATATTTAAAAAAAAAAAGTTGACAAATTAAACTTTGTTCAGTGACATGAACAGTAGGGATTGGGTACTAGAGTGTTTTCATTTGTAAATTGACTTGGAATAGTTCTGGTTACAAATAACATACACAAGAGAAATCTAAAATAATCCTGGTGTTCTATTGCTCTTGTACCTTTAATGTAAGTGTGGAGATGTTTCACAGAACTTAAAAAAAAAAAAAATTGCTGATGTGCATCAAAGGAAGCTTTAGCAATACATTTTTGTAATTCCTGACTGACCGGTTAAGTGTATGCATATTGTCTCCTTACATCAAGGACAACACCCATTATTATAAACACTTTCATTAGAGTGTTGAACTGGGACATTTTACCCACTGACTCAAATGTTACCTTGTTAGATTTACTGTAGGTAAATGAGTCTGCATTGTATCTGGCTACTTGGTGCTGCTTTTCAGGAACTAACTGGAAAGAGACCATCTATCACATTGGGTTAACTGAATTTTAACACTGATTTTTTTTGGGTGCAAGTAGGAAGAAAGATTAATTATATAAACAAATTGTGTTTTTCTGATGCAAGTATGTATCAGTATATTGTACCCTAATAAGTAGATATTGATGACATCTGAGGTGTATGTCAAGATTTATTAAAAGCCTGTCGGTATGTATCTCTTTCAGGACAGTAGATCTCTGTTCATCGAAATATGAAATATAGTATTGTTCATATCTTCTGACTGTTGGTCAGCACTCCATTTTGGTCATTCATTAAGCAAAAATTGTTCTAATATTCTAACTGGGAGGTGAAATTGCTAGAAGTCCAGAAACTGTTGTTATCCTCTTAGCGAACCAAGAAATAGGAATCTGTGAATTCAGTCTGATGTGAAATCCTGGCCCCATTGAAGTGAATGACAAAACTCTTATTGACTTCAGTGGAGCCAGGATTTTGCCTGAGAGTGTTAACATTGCTCCAGACCTTAAGAAGCAGTTATAGCTGGAAAACAGACTGTAAAATCATTACCATCATGTTCTTTGTGCATTCAGAGTTGTTTACTTTAGTGACACAAATAAGGTTATTTTTTTCCAAACTACTATGTAATCCTACAGCATTAATACCACTGTGGAGGAGCTCTGGTTGACATTATCAACAGTATTATTTACTTAAGTTCCAGATGTAGAAACTTTAATATTGGGGATCATACATCACCCAGGAAAAAAAGGAAGCTTGCCTTTTGGATCCCAGCTAGGATGACCAGATAACAAGTGTGAAAAATCGGGACAGGGTGGAGGGTAATAGGTAACTATATAAGAAAAAGCCCCCAAAATCGGGATTGTCCCTATAAAATCGGGGCATCTGGTCACCCTAATCTCAGCCTTAATATGAAAGAATAGAAGTGGGGAGGGGGGTATTTTTTTTTTAAATCTGAGCAAGTTTTAATCTGAAAAACTATTGTGGAGTAAATATGGAATTCCACAATGCCCTCTTTATAGAATAGCTTTTCAGAGTATAACTGCACTTTTATTATTGACATCGAGGGGGTAAATGATCAAAATTCCTGGGTTGTCACATGAATGTTTATGATGGTGGATATGGTGCTTGTTTGGCAGCTTCTTCATTTTGGTCAAGTATTTATGAAGAAGTTCATTGCTAGACTTTACAACATAAATAGGAGTATACAAAAACCTAATTGCTGTTGCCTTTTCTGAAATTGGAAATAACAATAAAAGAAAGTGGAAAGGATTTATACAGTCTTACTTTTTTTAGCAAGAAGAATAGCAACTCTTGAGAGCAATGTGTTTTATTTGAAACTTCAGGTAATATCTCCCAGCTGTAACGATGACATCACAGTGAAAAAGGACCAGTGTTTAGTTCGATCTTTTGCAGATTCCAAATTGTGAGTAATAGGATACAGTACTCTTAATAATAGTGTTGGATTGAAAAATGTGTGAACTTGTGACAAATTTTTATGTGGACATTATTCAATTGTACATTAAGAGTTTTCTATACAAAACTTAAGTACGGATTCTGCTTAGTTAAAATTTATAACCAATGACTCATTATTTTCTTGCAACTTAAAATGAAAAAAGGCAAGCGACTTACAACACTATTTTCTACCTATTGCATGCTTAAGATGCACAATTGAGCTAACATATTTGGTGGAGGACAGTGGGGGGCTTACCAATGTTACTAAGTCATCTTAGATGATTAAAGTTAAATAATTTTTTTAAACAAAATTTACTTTTGTTAGTCAAGCATTTCACTTCTGTTTTTCTCACTTTTTAGTTTATAGACACTTTCCAATTAATTTCTCCTTTTTGGTTTTTCGTACATTAGCATAGTCTCTTTTTTGGGTTGCAACATTGAGTTGGAATGTTTTGGGGGTTTTCGGTAGGCTTTTTTTAACTTTCCACTGAAATAAAAAATTAGAGAAATTTTTAGAGGTCTAAAGTTTTTTTGTAAAAGCTTTTTATGTAACTTGGATCCTGATGTTCTTCACTTAAGGTCTGCCAATCTGGTACATTTTTGTGCATGTTTATTGAAACAATGTTTTTAAGCTGCTCTTTCAGTAGCAATTTGTAGCCTTTAACTAACAAACTCAGTATTTATAAGAGAAGGTGAATTGAAAGTATCTATTGGGTTACAAACTGCTACTGAAGGGGCACTTGGGGTCTAGGATATCCAGTGAGAGAAGGAGGGTCCAGTTATTCCAGGGAATCTTAAAAATAAGAGGAGAACTTTATTAAACAAATATATTCAAAACAATGATAACATTTTAACCATTTCCTACTATTTTTTCGTATACCATTTAGTAACTGCTTCTCATAGTGCATAAACCTCAACATTGTGTTTGTACAAAACATGCCTGTTTTTAAAAAAATAAATGAGCTATAGTTATAGCAGCAATAATTCTCAATAGAATGTGAATTAGTAGGCTACTGATGCACTGTTTCTTTTGGCCTTATTATGTGGCCAAAGCATGCATCAATAGCCTACTTAAAGTATATTCTGTTGTGAATTATCACTATAAATAACATAATATGTCTTATTACCAGTGCCTACTGGACCATTTTTCTATTTATTTTCTTTAGCTTGAGAAAATAGTGGCCACCAATTCCTTTCACTCTACTGGGGTTTTGCTACAGTTCTTGTGAATGAACTGAAAGAAGAAAAATCTTATTATAATAACTCACTTGAAATGCTATAATTGTAGATTGGCCTGCATTCCTATTATAGCAACCAAATTTAACTCAATCTTTGGAATACATCTTGTTCCAAACTTAAAAGATTCCATATGTGTTAGCATGAGAGCACTTTTGTAACTTAAAAGAATTGGATGATCTAATAACACAGTTATTGGTATTTGCTTCACAAATCTTGTTTTGTGCTAGCAAAAATACAGTTTAAAAACAGGGCATACATTTACTTGTCACTATATAGATTGTTTCCCTTTGATAGTAGTTGTTTTTTTTAAACAGTCATATTGATATGGGATATATTACTTTATACATGCAGTAGCCACTTTGTAAAGAGTGACTTCCCTCTTTTCTCACCCCATTTCTTTTTGCTGGTTACATATTATAAAATCAAGGATTCATTTCCATAGATCTAGCTGGAGGGACTATTTTTACATTGGATTTTCTGTAAACTGGTCTTGAAATTGCTTTGAGAGATCAGATCTCAGTAGCATGCCCTAAAATTTGTATTTAAAAGTAAATGTGCAGTATTTCTTTAAAATATTATGAAATATAGTAAAAGGTTATATTGTAAGCTGACATCCAATTCTTGTTCTTCCTTGCATTAATTCCCTCAAATGAGGCCTGCTCTACAAGACCTCTCCCTCCAAAGTGCTCAGTTCAGTGCCATATCCTCCATCACACCACATGCTAACATGTCTTCCTTTGTCATCCCATCCCTTTTTAACATGACATCTAACTAACATTGGCAAAAGTAAGGAAATGTAGAGATAAAACTTTGTTTCTACTGTATATTGGTGCTACAGACATTAACTCAGTGCGTGATTGAGAGTGATGGCAAAATATTTGGACAGAGTTTTAATTTGCTCCATAGCATGGTGTGGGTTTTTAAAAAAAAATTAAAAATATTTACAATATTTTTATCTTTAAAAATATAACAGCTCTGTAACTGTAACAGATTAAATTATAATTTTTAATTAAAAAGGCACTTTTGATGACTTTGGGAATGAGGATTGGGAGTTTCTGTGCTATTGCTAGTGTATATTGTGTTAGTGCATATATCTGCTGATGCTTTAGGTATAATTCTAAAAGTTGAAAGTGAATGAAGGGTCTTGGATTTTGAGAAATCACTTTTTTCATAAATGGAGTACTCCTTGACTTATTCCTATTTTATTTTATTAAATACTTTCCTCTCTTCCAGTTATTCAATAGCAAGAAAGGACATCAAAGAACTAGATGTAAACCTATCAAAATCTGATCTGTCTGCTAAAAAAGGTATATTAGAATATTTCTTCTCTGGCTTAAAAAACAAATCAGTTGTGTAATGCAATATTGAACCTTCTGCTGGTATGTGACTAGAGTTAATTGCTATCAGTTTACCATTGCAGGGTTACAGTGAACACTAATAATACTGCTATATACTATAATGCTACTATTTAGCATTTTAACAGTGCTTTGCTACGAAGTACTGGCAGCTATTGCTTCATACTTAAGATGGTAACCAAGCTTCCATTATAAGTCTGATTTGTTTGGGGAGGGGAGTTCCCTCTCTAAAATCCACCCAAGTTATATTGGCCTCCAAACTGGTAGTTTATGCCTGGACCTGAGGTAGAAATATTCTACCGAATTTGAAGTGCCTTTATACACGGGATTCCTGAATTATGGCACTCTAAAAATAGAACTGTTCACTAGAATTCAAAAAGTCTCCTTTGTTGTTGTTGTTGTTGTTTTCCTTATGGAGGCTTCTTAAGGAAAAAAGAGAATTTTACCTCCTAGGTAAGGGTAGGGAAGGACTTGTATGTCACAGGAGGGCTTGCCAAGCAAGGGCTTGTCCACAAACCACAGAGGGTTCATCAGTTACAGAAGCCAGGGAGGTATTAGTGCTCCCCAAACCTTCTACAGCAGCACTGAGCAGGTCCTTGGTGTTCCCTCCTCTATCTATTTTAAGTACCTGTATGGCCCCCATTACTGTAGTATCCAAGTGCCTCAGTCTTTAATGTATTTATCCTTGCAAACACCTGTGTGAGCAAGGACAGTTATCCCCATTTTACAGTCGGGGAACTGAGGCACAGAGAGACTAAGTGACATGCCCAGGATTACATAGAAAGTCTGTGGTGGAGCTGGAAACAACTTGAGTCTCCAGAATCCCAGACCAGCACTGATAACCATTGGACCATCCTTCCTCTGCTTCTTCCACAGTCCCCAACCAAAAATCATCCTCTCCCCCTCCCTGCCAAATGTCTAGGCCTCATAGGGGCTCACAAGCTTGAGTCCAAAAAGACTTACTGGGCCACTGATGCAGGTACCCAGGTGAAGCCCTACTCCACCATCCCAAAGATCTGTGGGAGGCTGGCTGTATTAAGTGAGCATTAGTGAGTGTGAGGAAGGTATACGTTAGTGAGTGTCAGGGAGTCGGGAGGATATGGGGAATCTCCACTCCTGTAGTTTCTCAAAGTCTCCTTTTGCTCCCCAACCCCTTGTTGGGAGTATTTAAAAAAAAAAAAGGAATATCCATACAAAAGCACTAACATTATAGTGTGGATACCTATCAGTGGGTTTAGATGTGTATGGCCTTAATATTTGGATTTTTTGTTTCAAACTCTAACACTAGAAACCAAATATGTCCATAGGGAAGGTTGCCATGATTGAGAAATACAATCATATTGCGTTAACTCAACCCCCTGGGGATGCTCTGAGGGAATAAAGAAACTTCTACTATATTATCACCCATAACAATTTATTTTAAAACCCTACAGTCATACATACTGAAGAATTATAGGCAAATGGGCATACTGAAGGCAGTTATTCATTCCATACCATTAAATGTCTTATCCTACAAAGTGCTGAGGTCACTCAAAGCCTCTCATATGAGAAGCATATGCTTTGATCATGAAATTGGAGCACTAATACTGTATTAAAAGAGCAAATGATAATGTGGTGAGAAATCGTCACACTTAGCATAAGAGACATGTATGTATGAAGCAAATATTTCAACCAATGTTTTGTGATGCTTGTTTCTGATAAAGTTGGATGTAAGATGAAGATGATAACTCTGCCCTAAAGGCGCCTGCCTAAGATAACATTGTACTTGTCAAATAGCACCTAAATTAACTCTGAATTCCATGGATTTCCAGTATTTGTGTTTTTAATGTAACATTCCTGAAAGCTAAAATGTGCTCATACTATGAAGATGTGCTTGCAACCGTAACTTCATCCTAAATTTTTGTGTGTGGGATAAATGATTGTGTTTAAACTTTTAATTCACTTTTCACCACCTATTGACAATTCAGCTCTGAATTTCCCCCCCCCCCATTATAATTTGAAAAAAAGAAAAATTAGGAATATTATGTAACTTACATAATTTTGAGTTAAACTTAGTACCTTGAACACTGGGCATTTTTCTCTGTAGGGTTACAGGAAGCAAGCACTTTCTTAAACACAAAAGCTGTTCCTGATAACTGGAAAATGGACATGAGTGAAATCCTGGAGTCCTCCAGCAGCGATGAGGAAGATGGCGCTGCTGCAGACAGTGATGAAGAGGAAGACAAAGTGGAAGAAAAGGAGGAAGAAGTAGTGGTAAGTCTATTTTTATATTAGAAACAATTATGCAATTAGAAATGGTAGATACAGAATTTAAATGTCCAAGGACACTTTAGTTACCAAAGTTGTGATCTCAAACTTGGCTTACTCACTTTGGAGTTTTCAAACCTGTTTATCTTCCCTTCACAACTGTGCTTAATGGTATCTGTGTGCAACTGCAGATATTCTGCCATTATCCAATGCACAAATTTGAGACAAATCTCAGAAATAAGTTAGCAAACTTTGTTGGAGAGGGTCTGGTCAGAAATATGCAGATAGGGAAAGGAAATAAAATTTGATAGCTGTCTGAATAAATAACCTAGTGCTGATTTAAAGTGTAACATGCTTCTAAAATCCAAGATCCTCTTGAATGATGAATACTTCCAGTCAGAGAAGGTACTAAAATGCCAAAATAAAAATATTGGGCACAGTAGAGGACAGTGGTAGGTGGATGGACTATCCCCTATTATAACTATTGGTTAGCTATCTAAGAACCTCAGAATTTTATGCTAAATATCTTTGTAGATAATATTTCAGTAAAGCTTTCTTTAGATATTAACATTTTTTAAATTATGGAATGGTAATGTTATTGTCTAATATATACTTTAAATTCAATTCATTGTACAAGTGTCTGTCACAGAAGTATTGATAAAATGATCCAGTCACTCAGTTTCCATAAAGTAAAGCATCATCTGTCCTCATGTAATCAAAAATGAATTTATGGAATTTCCTTTAATTTTTATCTGGTTTTAAATCTTACAGAATTGGATTTACTTGCAAATAAAATAGTTCTTTGTAAGTTTGTGTACCATACATGGAACCAGGAGATTCATTATATAGAAAAGGAAAGCAAACTTTCTGTTTTTAAAGAAGGTCAAATATCGTTTCCCTTTCACTTCCCCTGTAGTATGTGGTTTTGTCACACTGAAAACAGAATGGCTGTTCATACTTAGAGGCAGACTGCCTACAGTGTTGCCATAGTAACATACTGTTGGTTTCAAGTGAGCATGCTCAGGAAAGAGAGGAAGATTTAGCAGAGGCTTGGCAGCCTGCCAGTGAGGCTTGCCAGATGCTTTGAAATGGACTGTCTCTTTCTTTTCCTTTCATGTAATGTCTGATTTTTATATGGAAGAGAATGTAAGTAATGCTATATAACTGCGGATGTCGTGCAGTGAGAGAGAAAGAAAGCAAATATTTGGAAGTCAGGATGAAATATGTCCAGGCACTGGGCAGATTAGGTAGAAGGGAAATATAACCATTTTTCATTTGAGAGAAAATGCAGCTCATAGGTAAGGAGTTTGTGTTTTAACCTGCAACGTTAACATTTTTCATTATTAAGAATGTGGATTTGACTTAGAGTTCAAGGTTTCTGATCTGTGAACAATGTGGTATAGCATGTAGCCAAGGGTAAATGTTTCCTTGTTTAAAAAAAATAAAATAAAAACCTATTTTTAGATATTAATGTTATGCCTTAGTAATAGTGTTCTGAAAAATGGAGTAGTTTTCCATATGCGAATATTGATATGGTTAGATAAAGATGAGGATGAATGTGCATAGAATATAAAATCCCACTGGATTTTTCTTCTGTATGTAGTGATAAGAATTGAATAGGCCACATTTTGCAGGGTGTGAACTGTTGCAGTCTGCGTTGATCTGTATTAACGTTTGTTAAAATTGCATACTCCCAGTCAGTTTTTTGTGTGTGTTTGTGTTTGTTTTTTTTTAAAAGATGGCTTAATCGGCGTCTAGTATAATTTTTGGTGTCATTTTACAATGGATGTTGTCTAAAAGTGCAGTATGCTTCAAACAAAGAAGGGGGAGGGGTAGCTTTGTTTAAAAACAAAACAGCATTCTTATAAAACAAATGGGGTTTTCATTTCTGATTCTAAGAAAATAATCTGTTGATCAAGGAAAGGGAGGTAAAGCATTCCAGAGATGTAGATATGTCCGTAGGAAAAGCTGTAGGATCCATTGTTTCCAGGTGACAAGTAAAGATATAAAAATAAAGGGATCATAAAGCTCTCTAGTGGAGTATAGATATTTATAATTTTTTTTAGATTGTCTGAGCAGAGCTGTCATTCTCGACCATGAAGTCAAAAATCTTGATTATTCTTTTATAATAGTCTAATCTTAATTATTTAATTGTGGGCAAAGCTCAATATTTCTGCTAAAGAGAGAATTTAGGAATTGTGATTTTTTTGTTTCCTTTAAGGGGTTTCTTCAAAACGTCACTAATCTGGGATGCAGACCTAAGGGAGCCAATGAATAAAAGACTGTTGTCTTGGCTATGTATGATTATAAATGTTGAATCACTCAAATTTTAATCAAGGTCAAAATAACCTCATTCCCATTTCTGTCAGAATATCCTCAATGCATCTTCTGTTTTGGGACCCTGAGTCACTCTGTTCTATTTTTTTTTTAAATTTACCATGGTGGTGCAGTAATGGCCTAGCTGCCAACAGGCATGGAAGGCCTTTCTCAGATAAATGACATGGAGGGCCTTTAACTCTACAAATATATATTTAATACATACCCAGCATAGTGTCAGTCAAATCCAAAGGATAGTCTTATTATGGAGTCAGAACAGACAGGCCTAATGTAGTTGTTTGTGATTATAGAACCTAGTATTTTCTCGCAGCTGGATTAGGATCCATAATTTTGCTTTGACACACTTTTTTGTGATGCCTTTAGTGATTTGGTAGTGGTTCAGTACAAGGAGTAATTTAGGATAAGCACCAAGATATTGTGGTGTCGCTGCATAGTCTCTTCAGGATCTGAGAATATGGGATCAGCATGGTGGTACCCAGATGGTTATCTCTCCTGTTGGAGGTAACTTATGAGTGTGGGATTCTTTACAGTTGGCAGTGCAGGAGGAAAATCTGGAGATAGCCTTCGCATTGACATCTATATTTAAATTTTAGAAGAACATTGACATGTGTCATGTTGCATAATGAGTTTCTCAAAAGGTTAAATTTGTGAGACTTTTTTGCAGTAATTTCAAAATACTGCATAGCAGCCCTAAGTTACTGTATTGCTTTCAACTTATACTTGGATGCTTGTTTAAATAATGAAACTGACTTTTTGTTACTATTATTTTTGCTATTCCTTTTGGTTGAATAAGATAACTTTTCCCATTTGGAAGTGAGTGGTTAGTTTGAATCTGCCACAGATCTGTTGGCTATAAACTTTTGTATTCAATTTGTAAATTTAAAAATCTGCAGTAAAAGTGTGCTAGATACATATTAGGATGTAACAGCCATTCTGAGGATAAATTGTAATTAGAGGTATAAAAATTTGAAACTCTTCTATATCATTGGCTGCATTGAAAACATTCCAGAAGCTCAAGGTCTGTCTCTAATATGCATGTCTTATTAAAAATCAAAAATATGTACAAGCATATTATTTTCTTGCACTTCTACTCTTCTGTCAAGGAAGATGGCAATTGCTAGTTGTTTACCAGGAAATAAAAATGTCCAATGATTAACTTTTTCCTTGCTCTGTGTTTAAAGGGGAGACTGCCTGCAGCTTGCAGTTTGATCGTTTGAGTCTCTTTGGACATTCTTCCTGTGGACAAATCAAGCCCTCTTCATGCATTTAGTTAAAATATATTTATTCCTTTTGTTGAGTCAAAAGCAACAAAAGGAATTCCTATATATCGAGCGTATGCGTTTGATTTTATGTGTAGGATTTCAAAGAGTTACAGTAAGACATAATATTAAATGATGATTGGATCAAAGGGCAAGAGCTTTGGAGGGTGGGGCGTTGTGGGAAGGGAGGAATGGTGTATAAGGCCCTCAGTGTTCAGGTTTGGACAGTGTACCATGACTAAATTTAACTGCTATTGCCCCTGGGGAGGTAGTGTTTTGTTTTATTATCCCTTTGGATTTTTCATCTCTTCTTATCCTTTTAAATTTTTAGAAGCAGGAAGAGTTAAGAACATAGCAACAGTGCTAGCCAGATTGCTCCCTAAGTGTCTCCCACTCAAGAGGAATTGGTTAGCAGACCTGTATCTTTTTCATGGAGAGTCTTCCTAATGGGAGATATTGCAGAAGCTGGCCAGTTCATCTCATGGGAAATATGGGGGGAACAGGTCACTATGCTGGCCATCCTTTAAAGGTGTCTGTCTCATATGAGATCAGAAGTAAGTTGTTTCCCATTTGAAAATGAAACTTTGGTGCCTAACTCAGTTACTGCTGTTTGAAAATAAGAACTGGAAGATCCAGGAGGATATGGTGGCAGAGGGTGGGCTCTGTTCTCAGGGCAGTGGCAAGTACCTGGTCATGCTCCTAGTAGCAGGGCCATGTATCTTTAAGGTCAAATTATAGATTTCTTGTCATGTGAATTTACCCTACTGAAGTCTTCAACTGGGGGGGAAAGATGGCCCATTTAAACGATGACTGAGGAGTTTTTTCAAAATAAGACATGTTCTAAGGAAGTCAAATTCCTAAATGCTGAATCAGGAGCGTGGTGTAGCATCACTTTTTCCAACACCCTTCAGATCCCTGTTTCTCAGAAAGGCAACAGTACACTATGATAAGAGCATAGAATGTGTAATTATAATAGAAAAGTTGCTACCTAGAAAGTTTCATATAATACTTCCAGATTTGCAGATATATATAAAAAATGGATGACATGTTCAGCGTTTTCCTGTGTGAAATTAGTTGTTTGATCAAAGTCTGCTTCCCAATGGACAGGTATTTGCATCATAAATATCATCACAGTTGGCACCCTTGTTGGCACTCTGAGCAGACAAACCAGTGACTGAATGGGCATGATGGCTGGACTACCTTTTAGCCTGTAGAGGAGGTGTCCTCCAGTTAGCACGGAGTCACGTCACTGCCCACCAGCAGTGCAAGAAAGCTTTCCCTGCTATACCTGCTCTGTGGATAAGTAGAGGATTTCAGTCCTAAGGATTTTCATTCCTGGTACCTTTCACCAGCATTAAATTTACATCAGGTGTGGGAGGGCGGGCATATGTGCAAATATTTGAAACCCATGAATTACATTTTAGAAATAGAGATTTGGGATTCTTGTACATGACTAACGACTTCTAATGCTGCTTCCAAATTGCCACTAGTCCCAGACTTCTCTAATGTGTAAATGGTTTTCAGAGGCAAGATAAAAATGTTATCTGAAGCAGTCCATCTCTGGTGTCAAGTGCGTGTGTTTTAGGATAGCATATAAAATCGGAGTCTAAAAATTGCATACAAGGCTATCACAATTTCAAAGCTATTCAGCAAGAAACAGCTTCTTTAAGATACATGGATTTACAGAACAGGTAAGTAGCAAATGTAAATGTAATACCATACAACATATATTTACAAGTGACAAATTCACTAATCTAAAGTAACTCATTTTTCCAAGATTTCTGATTACTGTTTGAGTTTGTGGTTTATAGTGCACCTTGTTGTAAAACTAGACATTTTATATACAGTTTTCATCTTTAAAGTTCTATATGAACATTGTAGTCTTATAATACCCTTCAGAGTTACCTATATTAACCCCATTGTACAGATAAGATGAGGCAGAGAGAGGTTAAAAGATTGAAGGTATGTAGCTAAATCGTTGGGCCTCACTCACCCTTTATTAGAGCCTGTTTGTGGGAAAAGGATGTAAATGAGAAACTAAACTACTGTGGAACTGGAAATTTTCAGAGAAAATTATTTGCACAGATTTTATCTATGAAATTCTGAAGCCTTCCGGTGAAAATATCTGGACTTGAGAAGAGATGGGACTACCGCTTAGTATGCAGCATTCCTGCTATCTACCGCAGGGGGTGGCATGAATGCCATGCTTAGAAGTGCAGTGTTCAGGCTACCTACCAACAGAAATATGGCTCTCCTCAATGGTGACAGGTGGTGGCAATAACATTTCTGAGATTGCAGGTTCCTTCAATTCTTTATCTTCCCCATCCTGGAGGCTGCAGCAGGAGGAATAGGGTGAGAGAAGCCAAAGGACCTGCTCTGTGACCCACTTTGGGGTCCCAACCCACAGTTTGAGAACCGCTGGAATATCCCAGAACTAAGTGGCTAGAATACTTTCCTGAGAGGTAGGATTCAAACAGGGGTCTCCCTTCTTCCTGAACGGCAGGGGAACTGAACTTGGGTCTCTCAGGATATGTCTACACTGCAATAAAAAAAACTGTGGCACAGAGTCTGAGAGCCAGGGTCAGCTGACTTGGGCTCATGGGGCTCAGACTGTGGGACTAAAAATAGCAACATAGACTTTAGGCTCAGTCTGGGCCCTGGGCTCTGAGACCCACCCCCATCGAGGGGTCTCAGATCTCAAATTCCAGCCTGAGCCTGAACATCTACACTGCAGTTTTAGAGCCCTGCAGTCCAAGCCCTGCAAGCCTAGGCCAGCTGTGATCGTGCCCTGGGTTTTTTATTGCAGTATAGATATACCCTCACATGTCAAATGAGTGCTCTAACCACAGGGCTAAAAGTTATAAGGTGGAGTATTGCCGCCACCATCACCACCTCCTCTTTTCAGATTTTGAATGAGACCTGATCGGGGGAAGGGATAGCTCAGTAGTTTGAGCATGGCCTGCTGAACCCAGGGTTGTGAGCTCAATCCGTGAGGGGGCCACTTAGGAATCTGGGGCAAAAAATCAGTACTTTGTCCTGCTACTGAAGGCAGGGGGCTGGACTCAATGACCTTTCAGGGTCCCTTCCAGTTCTATGAGATAGGTATATCTCCATATATTATTATTAATATTAAATATCTGATAGGTGGTCTCTAAGCATATCTACTGGACTGGGCCCTGCACCCTTGTTAGGAGGTCAAATGCCGATCTTCCCCTGGTTGTATAAAACTCTGGGTGCCTCGACACCTAGAGGGAGGCTGCAGTGTGTGTGCCTAGAGGCAGAAACATCTGTGATGAGGGAAATTTTACTCTGAAAATATAGGTGCTTGGGTGAGTTTAGGCACCAACAGGGTTCGGTGGGAGTTCTGTGCATTGCAGTGGAGCCTGAAACTGGAACTTGTGCGCCTATATACCTTTTGTGGATCTGAGCCTTTGTGCCTATATTCATCTGTAAAACAGGAATAATAAAACTTCCTTTGTCTTGTCTATTCAGACTGTAGGTTTTTCAGGGAAGGACTGTGTCTCTCGATGTGTAACATCTAGCAAAATGGGGCCCCAATTGGTTGAGGCTATCATTACAGAAATAATAATTCATCACTCAGGAGCAAGGATGTTCCCTTAGAGACATTAAGACCGTGAAGCCTGGAGGGCAGTTGATAATTGAAATGAAACCCTGCTTCAGAACAGCAGGTGGTGACCTGGGAACCACTTGCACCCAAGACACACAGAGAGGGTATAAGGATAACATATAGATAGCCTAATGTGAAATGCTCTCCAGCATCAACTCATGAGTCTTTGTTTCACCTGATCTGCTGTCCAGTGACTGGCCAATTAGGTGCATCAACTGTCCTAACTCTTCCTTCTGTTTTCCACGCTCCCCATGGATAGTCATTCACTTGGTCTTCCTGCCCCTGTTCCCTTGGGCTGTACAGTTTTTCATCTTTGCCTTTTGTTTAACTTCAGGTGAAGATACTGAGAGACTGTTAATATTTAAGTATCTGCTCATGGAAGAGCTATTTCTAGCCAACATTTTCATTGTTTTGGGGGATATGTCCACAAGAATAAACAGTTCAAGGTGGAAGTGCTTCTGAATTCTGAAGATATCTAGCACTTGTAATGCTTTTTATCCATAGGTATAAAAGCCTTTTACAGTAAATGGTGAGATCTATTAATTGCAATGTTAAGATTACATAGTTTAATTTTTTTAAAAGCAGGAAATATAAAAGCTAAGGTTCCTATGCACTAATAAATATGCAGCATTGTCTGTGTGATTCTATTGTTAATTTTATAGCTTACTTATATGTCTGTTAAATGTATACCATAGAATATACAGGATGAGCAAAATGGCCACTATAACATTATATAATTTTGTGGGTTGGCATTTAATTTCCTTGTTTCTTTTCTAAGAAAAATCAGAAGAGAAGAAACACAAACTATCTCTGTGGAATAATGTCAGTATTTAAATGGCCCCCATTGGGCTCTGGACATTACAGCTCATTGAAGCAAGCAGCGTGAAGAAGGGGTGAACTAATACCGATGCTTCACAGGAGGCTGTTTTTCAGTTAACAAGGCAGTGGTGTATCAGTTTAGATTGCAGTGGCTCTATTTTCGCAACAGAAAATTAGGAATGTAATTTTATTAAAATGAAAGCTTAGAATTTGTTGAATGCAGACCAAACTGAAACTGAGATCAGTAACCTTTCTATTGCTTCCCCCTTCCTCTCAAAACTGCCTGTGATTTTTCTACTAATGATACAGTAGTAGGGTTTTATTTTTGACTTTTTCTGTACATCTTTCCTCTGAGACAGCCACTTTTGCACAGACAGCCTCACCAGCAATCCTCAAGCCTACCAGGCTGGGCAGGAAGAATGTGGCATACATAAGATGTTGCAGGGAGCAAGACCTCATTAGGCTCTAAAATCTCAGAATCCCACTGAACATGCTCAAAAGTGATTTTTTTTCCTCATAACTTTTATTTATTCTAACATTTTCCCTTTGAACATAGCAAAGGCTTTACTTCACATTGTGGACTATCCAAGTCAAAGTTTAGCTGTGTTTATCCGGGGTGGCAGTGTAAGAATAGTAGAGGTAAAAAGAAAACAGGATAGATAACATACATTCTGCTGTTCTGAATTATACAAGTGACTCCTGAGATGTTTCCAGAGATGACCTCTTTGAGCTGAGACCAAGCATGGAAAGTTTCATTCCCCAAGGGATTTCTTTCCCCTCCTCCCCCAGAAATGTATGAGCATCTGAAGATATAGGGGCTGTTACAATGGAAACCATTTTGCAACCTTGACTATAGTTTTTCTACTGGGGAAAGCTAGAATTCATGTTAACTGCTGAAGTCTTTTAAATAACACATTCAATATTAGATTTTACTGTATGACATCACGTAATATATTAGTGCAGGCCACGTCATACCCCTAATGGATTGAGGATCCCACTGCTCTGTGTTTTCTTTTTCTCCAGTTGAGACTCCAGCATATTGGGTTTTGAACCTTCAGAGGGGAACCAACCAAGTTAGTCCTCCTCATCTTATTTAAACTTTTGCCCATTTGTGTGGCTAGCCCTTTCTGATTGGTTTATTTTCTGGATATCCTATCCTTATATGGGTGAACAATTGTAGCTTGGCTTTTTTGTGCAAATGAATTGTTTGGGATCTGACTGTCCATATGCATCTAATATTTTCAATGTGTCTCCCTTTGTTTTGACAGCCTGAGGAAGAGCTTGATCCTGAAGAGAGGGACAACTTCCTCCAACAGCTTTACAAGTTTATGGAAGACAGAGGTAATACATTGCTTAACTTACTATCTTTTGTGTACCAACCCATTTAAAAAAAATTCTTTTTAAATTTAATGTGTTGTATTATGTTATCACCCTTGCATCCGGGAAACATGTATATTCCAATAACTGAACATACAGATGAAAACATTTGTAACCATTTTGTAACCCAAATGGGGCAAGTCGTCTTATGTCAGATGCTTATCAGCATAACACACAGACAAAAGCAAACCCTGCCTAATTGATGTTTGGTTTTCTGTTGTTGTTTGGTGTGTTGGGTTTTTTTAGACAGTTTTGATGGGCTAGAACCAAAGTATCTCTGAAATAGCCTCTGAGTTGGTGTCCCTCTATGGCAGCTATGGCTGGCAACTCTGATTTGGAGGATAAAAACACTTGGAGACTTGGCCCTGGGTTGTGGAACTTTCAGCCACCAGAAATCTGGAAATGTGCCATTTTTAAGTCTTGTTGCAAGGCTATCCTAATCACGCACAGACATTCTACTAGTAGTGGAGCAACAGTGTCATTCACCTGGAAAACAACCTAAGCAATCCAGCTTGGTTCAATAGTTAGAATAAGGAAGGAGTTGATTTGCTGCTTTTCTCGACAGAATTAGACCAGTCTGTTATATACATGATGGTTAGATGCTATAACGGCAAAGAATATATTGGAAGTGCTGCAGATACCTTCATACATAGTACAGTGCTTTGCCCTCCTCCCAGTTTCACCTTCCTTAGAACCACAAATTTCAGTGGCTTATGCAATACTAGTTTTCCAATTTCAGGGAGGCAACCAGTTCTAACACCCTGAGCATTTCTAAAGGCATTGAAGCCAGAAAATAGGTTATCCTTTCAGCAAGTAACATATTGTGCCCACATATTTTATGCTCAGAAATGGCTGTCTTTTTTAATATAAAAAGTTTCACTCCTGTGTTTGCAAACTCGTTTTGATCAATAGCAAAGTTGAAAAAATTGTACAAATAAGACTAGACTCTCTTTAGATACTTTTGTCAAAAATTAGCAGGTCTTTTCCACAGGGTAGAAAATATCTTTTAAATTTTTTTGTAATCACCGTATGTACTAAAAACTGCTATTTGACCAATTCGTAGATCCCCAAATTGCCAGGCTCCAAAATGATTCCATAGCAGTGGTGACATTACAGCATAGTATAGCAAAGCACGTGTGGTTATATCTGGATTTAAAAGGACTGGGGTTGAAAGGAGTAAGTTTAGAATCAGTTACATGCTGAATACCTTCTCTGCCCTTTGGTGAACAAGGGAAGAGTGCATAAAAGTTCATAAAATGTTACAGTAATCTATAGCAATAAATGTTGATAGAAAAACACACGAAAGGGAGACAGACTATATTAGTTCAGACAAAATGGTTTCACAATCTTTAAGTATAATTAAAAAAAATATGGCAGGTCACCATTTTAAGTAGGCTGGTCTTCTCTTTAATAAGGTATTTTCCAATCTACAGAGGCTTAATGGAGTAGTACCTAGCCTGTTCAGTCTTGCCTCTTGCCTATCACAAATATGTCAGTGGGTCATGTATTTGTTATGCAAGCTTTTCTGGAGTTCATCCAGCATTACTTTGAAGACCATGCCATGTGGAATTAGCACTCTCCGGGGGAGTGGGGCGGGGAGGGAAAGGAGGGGCTTCAGAGAAAAGCGTGTTATGTGTAAGCAATACTAGCTTCTTTATAATGTGATTCTTCTACTTCTGTTACTGTCCTTTCTCCTCTTCCTTCATTGTGGAGTGTCACCCTGACTCAAGTTCTGTTAGTCCAGGAAGCAGGGAGAGACTGTGTAGGCAGCTGTGGGACGTGGGGAAAACAAGGAAAGTAACAGAGCAGTAAAAGTAAAGACCCAGTCCCGAGACAAACTGATATTGCTTAAAGATAGTATTTCATGGAAAAAAGGGGGCCTCCTTTTCTACCTTGGAGCAGCAACTTCATCAATGTTCAGCCCTTAGCCCTGTTTATTTCTGGCCTCCTCTTTCACAATTAATAGATTCTCGTTTCCTACCTGATTCCCAACTCTCTTAGTTTAGTTTCATACTCTATCTCCACACAAATATTTTTCTCTCTTGTCACCTTTTCCACCATTTCACATTCTGACCCTTTAATTTAATTTTCTACTCCATGTCCCCTTCACCCAAACATTTGATCTTCTCTTTATCGACTCCCACACCCTACCATTTCCCAGGCTTTTCCTTAGCAATTCTGATAGGCTGTCCTTCCATGTTTTGGCTGCCCTTCCGTGTTTTCCCTGCTGTTTGGGTAAGGGCAGCCAATCAGATGGGGTTTTCCCGAGAGATTTGAGGCGGGTCAGAAAACCTGTGTAGTTTGCAGGCCTATGATGCCAAACATTATAATAACCCACCTGGAACCAACCAGATGTTGACGCAAAAGCTGAGCATGACCATTAGTTGGGAGCAACTGACTTGGGATGTCTTTTTATGGGTAAAAATATTATTGCAGACACTAAATTGAAAAATGTACCAGCAATCAAGTGTGTGCTATAGGATGGAAGAGAAGTTTGCTCATCTGCATGGTAACTTTATTTATTTGTATTCTTATGTTAATTAGGTACTCCTATCAATAAACCTCCTGTTCTGGGCTACAAGGATCTTAACCTCTTCAAACTTTTTAGACTGGTGTATCAACAGGGTGGGTGTGACAATGTAAGTGTCAAATTTTTCTTAAGCAAAACATCTATTTGTGCTCTTGAAAATTATGGTTACAGTTCCAGTGTCCCAGTAAATTTCGTTCTTAATTTTCCTGGTTAACAAATAAAACTTACTTTTCCAGATTGACAGCGGTGCTGTATGGAAGCAAATTTATATGGACCTTGGCATTCCTATTTTGAACTCAGCTGCTTCCTACAATGTAAAAACTGCTTATAGAAAGTAAGTTATAGCTTATTAGATGATTGAATGAATGGTTTTATGAATATGGAAAATCTGAAAAGTGGCATGAACACTTTATTTTGATAGCTCAGCAGTTGATATTAGTAGACAAGTAAGTGTTCCACATTCTCTTCTTATGTTGCTACATTAATTTTACCAGATTTTAAGAAGTTCTTGCAAACAAGGTCCGGAGTTCTGCAGTGAGAGTGGTGCTTAGCATCCTCCACTTCCATTCACTACAAACGGGAGTAGGTGCTGGGCACCATGTAGGGTCTTGCAGTTGCAGTTTCTTAGAACATTGCTTGTTTTAGAGCAGGAAATCTCCATTGTTGGCATGTGGTGTTACTGTTTTGGAATATAGCAATGAAAACTGCTATACAATCAGTTTGCAACTTATGCTTACCAACATGGACAGACTCTGTCCTCAGATGCACAGGTGCCACAAGTACTCCTGTTCTTTTTGCGGATACAGACTAACACGGCTGCTACTCTGAAACTTCTACTTCCATTGAGATTTGTGATAGCTGCATGCTATGGGCAGAGCTTTGCATTTATTTGCTCCCGACTTTTAAACTTTCTGTACGATGTAGCTAGAAATAAGTGTGTTGCAGAAGTAATCTTTCAAACATCAGTGCAGAAATTTTGGTTATATCTTTATAGATCTGTAGATGATGGCTTTCAGACACACTTACGTTGTTAGCTACAGTATAAGAGTAGGGGGAGTGGTGGTGACCACTTGAGTTAAGGCTGTATAAGCCTTTTCATTCTAACCCCTGATGATCAGTTGTATTTTCATTTTTGATACTTACACCTTCTGGGCTGAAATGTTTCAGGCTCACTTTCTAAGTAGAGTGGACTTTTTTCTTCTTTTTTTCTCCTGAAAGGTTGAGCAAATACAGTTCAGTGTTTTGAGTAAAAGGAGAAATTGAGCTCTGCATGTGGGAAGCAGGGGGAATGTTTTGCCCAATTCTGAAGAACTTAATTTTTTTTTTGTTTAAGAAAACAATCAGAACAGTTGAGCACCGAGGTTGTGTGATTGGCACCAGTATGAGGAATGGCTTAAGTTAAGTATCAGAAGGGTAGCCGTGTTAGTCTGAATCTAAAAAGCAACAGAGGGTCCTGTGGCACCTTTAAGACTAACAGAAGTATTGGGAGCATAAGATTTCGTGGGTAAGAACCTCACTTCTTCATCTGAAGAAGTGAGGTTCTTACCCACGAAGGCTTAAGTTAAGGTTACACATGCAACATTAACTCTCACCGTTGTGCATTTGCAGTACAAAAGTCTTTAATGACATGGTTGCATTTTGTTTCTCAAATGCAATATATCATATGTTTTCTAAGCCTTAGATTAATGTGTATTCTCTCTTTTACAGTTGTGTATGCCAGACAGCTCATTAAAGTAATCATTTGAAAAGTACACAGCAAACTATTGCTGATTAAGAAGAAAAGTGAAAATTTGCAGGCATATATTGCCCACCTACATTTTGCAGCTAAACTAGCTTAGTGGTTAACTACCTCATTCTCTGACTTGAACCTATTGAAAGTTGTGCTTGTTGAATAGCAGGTGACAAAGGGTCTCATCCTACTCATTGAAGTAAATAAAAATGAAAATATTCAGATTGTCTTCAATGGGAGTTGAGCTGGGTACTAATTTAAGATGCATATTTTACAGAGAAAAGTATTTAGCATGCAAAAATTAGTAAAGTTGTGACAGACCATTATGACATTGAAAACGCTCTAACAATATAAGAATGGGAAAAAATATTGCAAGGTGATTCTAAGATTGTAGAAGCAATTGTTTGAGAAACAGTATAGCATGATGTGCTTTTGATGGTCATGAATGCTTAAGCAAATGGGACAGAATTAAAGCTGTGCACGTGCAATGTTAAACTTAGTCACTCAAATATGACTGCTTAATCATGCTACCTCAAAATCTCTTAACATAGGATTGAGGTTTTTATTGTTTGGTTTGGGGTTTTGGGGGTTGTTCGCTTTTTTTTTCCCAGGAGTTAGTGCTCTTCTCTTGCACTTCTGCGGACAAGAAAATAAGGAATTTTTTTGCAGTTCAGTGAAATGAAAATCAGATATGCATTGGTAAAAATGTAATGAAACTTTGTTTGCATATATAGGTATCTTTATGGTTTTGAAGAATACTGCCGCTCTGCAAACATTCAGTTCAGGACCATCCATCATAATGAACCAAAAGTGGTAGAAGACATTCAGAAACAAGAAGAACCAATGGAGGAAAGTGTAAAAGAGGAACAAGAAATGCTTCCAGCAGAAGTAAAAAATGAAGCAGAAGAAAATGATTCCAGCAGCGAAAGTGAAAAAGAAGAAATAGAATTAAGATCCCCGAGAGTAAGTAGTCTGATTTGAGGGTGTTTTTTTAATTTATGTGCTAAATAGAACTGGGTGTCCTTAATAGTTCACTGATATGAGATTTCTCTAGAGGATTGGCTGTACATGGGAATTGCCATACTTGTACAAACACAAGAGCCACATGCTGAACAACACAGGCTTCCATTCACATATCAAGACAATGTTCCACTGTTTACACTGACTTCCCATTGAATATAGTCCATTTCAAGTTCTCTCTTGATGGTCAAAACCCTCCAGGAGATTGACTAAGCTACCTGAGATCATCTTTAGACAAAGGAAATGCAGTAGATCTAATCTACCTAGGTTTCAGTAATGCATTTGAGAAGATGGGGATAAGGAACTGGTTAAAGGGGAGACTACAATGGGTCATACTGAAAGGTGAACTGTCAGGCTGGAATGTGTTTACTAGTGGAGTTCCTCAGGGATTAGTTTTGGGACCAACCTTATTTAACATTTTTATTACTGACCGTGGCACAAAAAGTAGGATTGTGCTAATAAAATTTGCAGATGATACAAAGTTGGGAGGTATTGCCAATATGGAGAAGGACCAGAATATCATACAAGATGACTGGATGACCTTGAAAACTGGAGTAATAGAGATGGGATGAAATTTAATAGTGCATGATCATGCACTTGGGGACTAACAACAAGAACTTTTGCTACAAGCTGAGTATATATCAGTTGGAAGTGACAGAGGAGGAGAAAGACCTGGGTGCATTGGCTGATCACAGGATGACGATGAGCCACCAATGTGATATGGCCGTGAAAAGGCTAATGCAATCCTAGGATGCATCAGGCGATGTATTTCCAGTAGAGACAGGGAAGTGTTAGTACCATTATACAAGGCACAGGTGAAACCTCATCTGGAATACTGTGTGAAGTTTTGGTCTCCCATATTTAAGAAAGATGAATTCAAACTGGAACAGGTGCAGAGAAGGGCTACTAGGATATTTGAAGGAATGGAAAACCTACCTTATGAGAGGAGCCTCAAAGAGTTTGGCTTCTTTAGCCTAACCAAAAGAAGGCTGAGGGGAAAATTACTCTCTATAAAAAAAAACATCAGAGGGATAAATGCCAGGGAGGGAGAGAAGTTATTTCAGTTAAGTGCCAATGTGGACACAAGAACAAATGGATATAAACTGGCCATCAACAAGTTTAGGCTTGGAATTAGATGAAGTTTTCTAACCATTAGAGGAGTAAAGTTCTGGAGCAGCCTTTCAAGTGGAGTAGTTGGGGCAAAAAAACTAACTGGCTTCAAGACTTATAAGCTTGATAAGCTTATGGAGGGGATGGCATGATGAGACTGCCTACAATGGCATGTAGCTGATCTGCAATTGCTAGCAGCAAATATCTCCTCCAATGGCTGGTAGTGGACACTAGCTGGGGAGGGCTCTGAATTACTACAGACAATTCTTTCCCAGTTGTCTGGCTGGTGGGTCTTGCCCTCATGCTCCGGGTCTAACTGATCGCTATATTTGGGGTCGAGAAGGAATTTTCCCCTGGGTCAGATTATCCGAGACTCTAGGGGGTTTTCACCTTCCTCGGCACCGTGGGGCACGGGTCACTTGCAAGTTTAAACTAGTGTAAACAGTGGATTCTCTGTAACTTGAAGTCTTTACATCATGATTTGAGGACTTCAATAATTCAGCCAAAGGTTAGGGGTCTATTACAGGAGTGGGTGAGTGAGGTTCTGTGCCCTGCAATGTGCAGGAGGTCAGACTAGATGATTGTGATGGTCCCTTCTGACTCAGATTTTGTTTCCCTGCACAACCATGACTTTCATCAACAGCTGTGTTCCACCAGAACCATAAAACTATCACCAAATGGGGTAGACTTGTGAACACGGGAGAATTTTCACAGGAGCTGGACCTAGATTATGTAATTTCCTCCTGCAAGAGATAAGAATGAGCAGACACCTCACAGCTTTAAGTGCCAAATGTAAACCCCATTTCTTTGACCTAGTGTTCTCATGTTATCTCTCTTTTAAAAAATAAATAAAAATCTTCAGCCTTTCAACTCATTCACATATGCAGAGAAGGGAATGAAGGGATAGTGAGTTTTTTGTTTGATGTCTTTATTTTTATTTTTTTATTTTGAGTATTGCTTGAATGCTGTGGTGATGAGGGCCATGTCAGCAGGTACATAGATACATCAGTGACCCGTCTAATTTAGTGTTCAATCAAAAGTAGAATATAAGAAAATATTTAAAAGAATTTTTCCTTTGTTGGAACAAGAAATTAACTGTCTGGGTTATCTAGATTAACTGGCTAGAACTCTGGCTAGTTCTATTAAGGAAGTTACTATGTGTTCATTGATTAAAACTAGCACACTGAAAGGGAAAGAAATGTTACTTCTGACAGTTACCAAAGAACAAAGAATGTTTCCAGTTAAAATATTTAATAATGCACATTTAGTATCTCATATCCTTGTGATGTAAGCTAGCTTCCATATACACCTCTACATCGATATAACGCTGTCCTCGGGAGACAAAAAATCTTACCGCGTTATAGGTGAAACCGCGTTATATCGAACTTGCTTTGATCCACCGAAGTGTGCAGCCCCGCCCCCCCGGAGCACTGCTTTACCGCGTTATATCCGAATTCGTGTTATATCAGGTCGCGTTGTATCGGGGTAGAGGTGTAACATCAGAAGTTTGTTTCCTATTGAAGTTTTTTGGTGACTAGATCCTGTCAAGGTATTAAATGATTGATAGAAAGGGTCTTATTAAATGAAAATAAAAATACTGTGAGCATATGCTTACTGAAAATGCTACTTAAAATGTGGTAAATGTACCAAATCAATAGTTTAAAAGATGTGGTTTCTACAATAGTATAAATATACAATGTTTAGCTTTAGACAAGCACTGAAAATATGAAAAGATAATACAGACCAATCACCTATGATTATCTCTAACTTGATCACTTTCCAGCATGCTGCAAAAGCTATTTTTATTTGACAGGGTGTTGGAGGAAGGTTGTGGGTCAGGAGAGAAGATGGAGTGGAAGGGTTTTTTTATGCTGCTTTGACTTCTTGGATGGCAAAGTTAACCTGTTAATTCAGCCAACCAGCAGCATTAAATAATATGTAGATAATATTATCTGTATGTGACTAATGTAATACTTTCAGGTGGTTGCCATTATGTTGCTATAAGTTTAATTATTAGGGCACCTACTGGGTTTTGATTGTTGTTTGAATAATAAATACATTCTAACAGAAGGATATATGTTCTGAGTACAAAAATGTGACGCTATCAAAAAGAGCACCTAGGCCGCTTAATAATAAAACAATAAGCCCATAACAGTTAAGACCCCCTTCCCTCAAACTCACCAGCTATCCCCACTGCTGTTCTTTACCCCTTTGGAAATTCCAGTGGTCTTGCAACATGCTCTGAAGGCAAACAAATCTAAAGAGACAAGGCTGGTAAGGTAATATCTGTTACTGGACCAACTTACGTTGATGAGAGAGACAAGCGTTCGAATTTACACGCAGCTTTTCATCAGGCCCAGGCCTGAAGTAGAGCTCTGTGTAAGCTCAAAAGCTGGTGTCTCTCACCAATAGAAGTTGGTCCAATAACAGATATTATATCACCCACTTTGTCCCGCTAATATCCTGGGACCATCACGTCTATAACAACACTGCATACAAATCTGGGTCCTGTCAGACCGAGGAGAGCAATTTCCAGAATTGAGGATCCCTCGTGGAAAATGCCTTGTGAGCATCTCTGTCCCTTTTAAACCATGGGACTATCAACTCAAGTAGTTCCACTTACCACAACTGCCATAGTCAGCTAGGGAGGGTGATATTTCATGTGTTCAGGGACTACAGGCCTTGTAGATCTAAACACATTCCTTTAAAATTCACCTGGAAACTAATGAAAAGCTAGAACTCTGATATTGGAATGCCATAATTGTAAACAGAATGCACACAATGTTTTAAATTTATAAATATGTGATAACTCAAATGCAAAACTTCACATTGGCCTCCAATCTGTCTTCTGTACAGGAAAAATAAATATACTTCAGTGCACAGGATGCACTGCATCCTCCTGCCCTGCCCTGAACATGACAATGCTTGTTTAACAGATTGCGTTTCTATCTTAGGGACGGAGGAGACTTGCTCGCGATGCAATAACTACTAAAAAAGAAACTGAAGAGGATAAAATGCAGGACAAATTAAAAGATAGCAACAAAGAAAATAAAGATGTAGAGGAAACACTTGAGAATGCAGAGAAGAAAGAAAATGAGACACCACTCGGGAGAAAGAACACACCAAAGCAAAAAGAAAAGAAAATGAAAAAACAAGAGGAATCTGATAAAGAATCTGATGAAGAGGAAGCGAGAATGCAAGAGAGGTACATATTAACCTACATCTGCTCTTTAAAAGAATGCCTGTGTGGTGGTACAGCGGCACTCTGTAGTGCTGAGTACAAGGGAGATTTAGGATTCCATTTCTGGAGATCAGACGTGAATCAAGTCCATGATTTTCACACACACGCTCCCATCACAGTTTCCCCCTCCTTGTGCATCTCCAAGACAGCAGAGGCCTGCTGTACCTAAGGGAGGATTTTTCCCTGGAGATGGCAGGTAGTATTTCCACTGTCATCTTCCTCCAAGGGTTCGGTCAGGAAGGGCAGAATTCTAGTTTTGGGGGCCATACAGGAGTTTATCTTGAGAATGCTTCCTTGGAGGTGTATTGAATCAGTGCATCCTTGGATGTTCTAGCTCTGTTCTCATCCCAGCCCTACTTCTGGGCTGCTTTAGCCAAGAGTGTCACCACCCCCCTCAGTTGCACACAATATTCACTGCTGTATCACTTCTCTGGATGGACTTCTGTCACTGCGGGCTTGGATTATATTGGTATTTGTGCACAGTAGTACACGCAAGCACTAGCTAGGTGTTGTGCTAGGTGTTGTACAACCATGTAGTGATAGATGGTTTCCCACACTCTGTCTTGTCTATTTATGTTCTATGATTTGGGGTAGAAAGTGGATGTAACATACAAGCAAAGTGGCTAATGATGGTTGGCAAATGTCCAACTTGCGCTTGTTTCCATTTTTATTTAAATGTATTTAGAGGGCAGGAGGGGATGAATTAATAAGAGCAAAGGAGAAATGAAGGGGAAGGGGGGGACTAAAAATGAAAAGGGGAGATGGATTGAAGAGGCAGAGAAGGAGAGAGGGCAACATGGAGGGCAAGGAGAGAGTGGCAGGCAACAGAACAATGTGGAAGAATGAGGAGATGTTGGAGTAACGAGCCAAGTGGTAGAAAATAGCAGCCATAGTACAAACTGAGAGGCAGAATTGGTTTAAATCACTGCTGTTCAGGGGTTGTGAAAACAGGCTAGGCCTCTCTCTTCCCACCCTGCTAGTCCTGACTACCCCCTTGCTCCATTCAGGGATTGGGTCTGCTCCTTGTGACAACATTCTTCCTCTTTTCTAGCCCATGGGAAGGGGAGGAGTGCACTTGGGGCACAAGCTGAGAGTGAATCAAGCCTGATGACTTTTTGTTTCAAGCAAGGAGAATGTGTTGGCTACATCATCTCCATATCATTTCCATATGAGGAGAGATTAATAAGACTGGGACTTTTCAGCTTGGAAAAGAGATGACTATGGGTGGATATGATAGAGGTCTATAAAATCATGACTAGAGTGGAGAAAATAAATAAGGAAGGAAGTATTTCTTCACACAACGCACAATCAGCCTGTGGAACTCTTTGCCAGAGGATGTTGTGAAGGCCTAGACTATATAACAGGGTTCAAAAAAGAACTAGATAAGTTCCTGGAGGATAGGTCAATGGTTATTAACCAGGATTGGCAGGGATGGTGTCAATAGTCTCTGTTTGCCAGAAACTGGGAATGAGTGACGGGGTGGATCATTGTTCTCTTCATTCCTTCTGAAGCACCTGGCATTGGCCACTGTTGGAAGACAGGATACTGGGCTAGATGGATCTTTGGTCTGACCCAGCATGGCCATTCTGATGTTCTCATTTTGATGCACTCATGGAAAAAACAGTGACTTCAAAGAAGGCTGCGCCTTCAGTCAAAAGAAAGATCTTGTAGAATAACACAGCAAGCAAAAATTCCATTCAAACATAGATACAGTGTGGGTGTACAGTAGGTTGCATAGGTGTATTACATATATCTACAGTCTCTTAGTCATCTTTCTTGTAAGTACTTGATGCCTTGGTTATCGTCTTTCCTTTTAGTGTAAACTGTTATTGCTGCAAAATAGGTTATAGTCAGAGATGAACTAACATTTATCATTTGTAAAAAGCAAGCTGCGCTTTTTCTGTCTATTTCGTCTGCTTGTGGTTCCTTATAGTTCTAGGTTTTGCTTCTATTCCAAATTATTTATTTAAAAGGCACGAAAGTATGTAGATCAGATGAGACATTGGTTTTTGAAAAGACATTTTCAGGCACCTAGTCCTTGTTATGGATCTTTCCTTAAGTTAAATGGTAGATAAAAATTCTTAGCCTCTTTTTTTAAATTATATCATGGATAAAGGCATTTATTGTAACCTTGTGTTTGCCACTATTTGCTTCAGTGGAACTGATTAGATATCCACAGAAGGGCCATTACATTGACAGTGCAAACGTCTCATATAACTTGAAAGAAAATTGTGGAAGGTGGAAAAATTTAAAATAACACATCAGAAGCAAATATTAAGAATTAAAGTTAGTGTCTCCTTGCTCAGCACATTCTGTTTCACTTGAGCCTCAAAACAGTGAGTTAATGTAATATATTTTCTCCACCTTCTTTCTGTGATCTCCATATGTTTCAGAGGATAAACGTTAAAGCTTTGAGCTAGTTATGCACATAATAAATCACGTTAAAATGTGATTTGTGAATAAATCTGATGCATCATTTTTAACACTTCTGATTTATGCAAAACAGAGTGGAGGTGTCTGACTTGAATAAGTTATGACCAGCCCCTTTTTTTTATACATTGCACTTCATGAAGCAAGGAACGCCCTACTGCAAACTTTTATCTTCTCCTTCCTCTGATTAGAAAGGGAATACTTAACTATGCTTTGGAAATGTTAGGTCCGATTGTAATTAAATAATCAATGGGCATTATAAATATACCTTGCTACAGGGAGGAAATTGAAAACAAAGGCGAATCAGAAGGGGAGGAAGATGAGGAGGACTCAGAGCCCTGTCTAACGGGAACCAAAGTGAAAGTAAAATATGGACGTGGAAAAACTCAGAAAATTTATGAAGCCAGTATTAAAAGCACAGAAATTGATGATGGAGAGGTTTTATATTTAGTACATTACTATGGCTGGAATGTAAGGTAAGAAGGAGAAATTACTGGTTAACTTCATTATAGTTTACTAAAATTGTTGTATTCAGAGAATGTCATCAAAGGGGGAAGAGTAATGGGTCTCTTGGCCCTGCAGTGAATTAGTATTGCACAATAGGGTCAGATCCTGCTAAAACTTTTTCATGTGAGTACCCTCACTCACATATGAGTAATCCTATTGAAGCCAATGGAATTACGCATGTGTGTAAGTGTTTGCTGGATTTTGGTCTATCTCTGCATAAAACTGTGAGTAGTACTGTTACATTAAATTGGAGTTCTTGTGGGAATAAATCCGATACCTGGTAATAATTGTCACCAGGATCAGACCTTTGGCGAATATAGTGAGCTATGAAAGTGACTTTTAAATTACTCTTGCCTTTTAAGAAAGTGGTGGTGTGCTTCCAGATGTCACCCTGAGTATTAGAAACGGTATTGCGTTTAGTAGTAGGGTAGCTTATACAGTTATTGGTTTATTAAACTCTGAAATTTCAGTAACAAAAAATATGCTGACAGTTGAACACTGACTATAATTAAAGAAGATCTATGTTTTAAGAAATTCATGGTGGGAGCGAGTGGGGAAAGCTGAACTGTAAGGAGGTGCAGAAAAAAATCCACTGAACACTTACATTGTATTCCAAAAGAGTGCATTCCTTATATTTAATACCTTTTGTGTAATGGCATTTCTTTATTTTTATAAACAATGTGACTGTGCTAATGCCACAAAACTCAAATATATTTTAAAATGTGTTTTCCTTGTACATTAAAATTTGAGACTTGCCACCTCATTGAATTCCTGAGAAATCTAAACAGACTTCCTTGAATGACATTGACATCACGTAGGTTTGAAAGAAACCTTTTTTCCAAACTTCTATTCACATCCCCTCTTCTATATTAATAATATTAATAATAATAATAACGCAGGAGAGTTTCAAAGGCACAAATGGCAGATAAGCACCTAACTCCATTTATGCCTTTGACAGTCTCCCCTAATGCTTAGTGTCTTTTGCCAGACGATTTGAAAACTCTTTAAAAACACAGGTAAGTATGATTATTTTATAACAGTGTTATAGATGGGGAAACTGAGGCGTGGAGAGATTAAAACTGAATTTTCTAAGGTCACATGAAGTTGATGGAAGAGTCTGTAATTGACCCCAGGTCACCTGACTTCCAGTGCTTTGCTGGCAGGAGACCAGGAAGGTCTGCACCTTCAGATTTCCTCAGGATCTTAGGAAGGTAATTGCAATAAAACATAGCACTAAATACGTTTTAAAACATCAGATACTTGATATGTTGCTAAAAGGGGGGTGGGGATCTATTTTGAATTGTTATTAAGGTCTTTGCAATTCAGCTTTGAACCATCAAATTACAATAAAACAGTTTTTAACGGGAGTAGTAACAGTGTGCTGTGTTTTGCCTTTAGATACGATGAATGGGTGAAAGCTGATCGGATTATCTGGCCTTTGGACAAAGGAGGACCAAAGAGAAAACAAAAGAAAAAAGCAAAAGTAATATTTGTAGATCAGTAAACTTCTTGTAATAGTTTGTAAGAGCTTAATGGATCTCTCTGCTCCTAAGAATAAGAATTTATTTAGCTGTTCACTCCCTAGCCCCTCCCCTTAATGTGTAGCCCAAAAAGGGTGAAGTTTTGATTATAAGCAGTGATGTACATTCATAGAATGCCCAATTTTGTGTCTTCAGAGTAAAGAAGACCAGGAAAAGGATGAAAAGAAGGATGAGGAGAAACAGAAATCAAAACGTGGCCGCCCCCCTCTGAAATCTACTCTTCTGTCAAACATGTCTTGCAGTTTATCCAAAACACCTAATAGTGAAGGTAAAGCAGGAGCCAGAAGTACACGGAGCAATATGTCAGATTGCTCGTCATTACCAAATGGAACAGAAGGTACACCTGATGCAGTCATGTGGGACACTTAGGTGCTCATACATAGGAGAAATGTATGTAAATACTAATAATGTAACCCCACGCGTTCGTATGAAACGCTTAATAAACATATTGCTGTATTTTAAGTCAACAGTTTTGAAGCCCTGTGCATTCAGTCAGTCAGTTTTACTAGCTATCTAACAGATTTTATTCTGTATCAATTAATTAGTTTTGATTTTGATTTTTAGGAACACCTCGCAGGCAGACGAGACGTAGCTCAGGAATGTTTGATTCTGATAGAGGATCAAACGGTGAGTGATCTCTGTCCCGTGTTTTGATTTTCATTCCTTTTGGAAAAAGCGATGAAAAACCCCCTTTTTTCCCTGCAAATTTTAATGCTGTTGAAAGAACGAAATTGACACCAGTGGAGGGAAAAAAAATCTCTCTTTCCTCCCCAAGCAGTTAGGGAAGGGGCAGCTACCCCATGTTCTCGCATCAGTCTGCTTCAGTCCAAATCCAGAGATAAAATTGTGGCCATTCCTATGGTCACTCAATCTTCCAATCTCACAGCTCATGCATCCAGCAGGGAGGCTAGTTGAGTGCAAATGGTGGCAGTGTTGTTTGATGATAAGAACCCTTGTCTAGTAGGAACTGAATTGAAGCCACCAACTCATTTCATATAGGATCTGCACAACTATCCGGCACCATAGTATTACTTGCTATCTATATGGCTTCTGATTAAAACCACTGATTTGGCAATGAAATGGCTGTAACCCCGTTACCAGTCTTCTGAGCCATCCATTCCTTTTTGAGGTGAGGTGACTGGGAAGATTCAAGCTATAAGGAGACTTGTAAAACTATCCTGTCCTCCTGAACTGTGATTTATGTGTGGCTTTTTGATTTCTAACCTCCACCACCACCCCAAAAAAAAAAAAAGTGAACACAAAAAAAGAGAGTTTACACTAGTGCTACCATACTTCCATAGAGATCTAAAGTAACACTCAGAAAAACTGTAGCAAAAATAGGTTGAATAATGCAACACATTTGGATTTTTTTTTATTTTTTTAGTTGATGCAAAACCAAAACTCTTGATTTTTTTTTTTTTTTCATAAAGTGATTTTGGACACTGTATCTGTGTGGGTTATTGAATAGTATCTGCATAGCTAATATAAAAAGTTGTGCTTTAACAATGACCTGATGTGTTGTTTTTTAATCTTATTTTCTTGCAGATTCTGGTTCATCTGACAGTGAAGCTGATGAGACTTCTGAAAAGAGTATGAATGAAGAATTTTCTGCAGAAATTTCAGATATGGAAAAAAATGAAAAACTAATTGATGAGAAACCTGATGAAGAAAACCCAAAGATCCCACATGTATTGATGAAAGAAAATGACAGGACTCAAGTGCAGCCTCTAGAAACGTTGAAACTGGAAGTTGAAGAAAGTGAACAAATAGTTCAGATTTTTGGAAACAAAGCTGAACAAGTGGAAGAAATTAAAAAAGAGACTGAAAAATCACCTAAGGGGAAGGGAAGAAGGAGCAAGACAAGAGACCCCTCTTTAGAGAATATAAAGGTTTTGCCAGAAAGCCAGGAAGAGGAAACAAATGAAACCCTCATAGAATCTGAAAGGTCAGAAATTTCTTCCTTAGACAGTAAAGAGTTTTCCACCACTACTGAAAATGAAACAGACCCTTGTACAAAAGATAAGAAGCTTTTGAAAAGGAAAACGTTGGAACAGACATCGCCTGAGAAAAAGGTACGACGAGAGTGTGAGATGGAAGTGCCAAATATTGTGTCTGAGGAGAGGACCAATGAATGTATTGGAATGGAGGAATGTAAAGACTTCCATGATGAAGAGTCACTCAGAACTGAAAATGAGGAAATGCCGTCTTTAGTAGCAGAGTCAGATCAACATGTTCAAGAGCTGACGAATGAAAACTTTGAATGTACGTCTGAGGAAAATGAGCATATTCCATTAAAAGATGAGGATGACACTATGCCTCAGATTGGACCTGAAACTCTCCTTTGCCATGAAGTGGACTTGGATGACTTTGATGAAAAGGAAAAGAGCAGTAGTGAGGATGCAGTAACAGAAAAGCCAGACCCCAACACTTTGACCTCAAATCCATCTGCCTTAACCCCTGCAGTCCAGCCTAACTTCTCTGTGGCCTCGCCCCTTGCTCTTAGTCAGGATGAATCTCGCAGTATAAAAAGTGAAAGCGATGTAACGATTGAAGTGGACAGTGTGGCAGAAGAATCTCAAGAGGGTCTCTGTGAAAGCGAGTCTGCTAATGGATTTGAAGCCAGTACCACTTCAAGCAATTGTAGTATAGCAGTACAAGACAGAGAAACTGGAGAGAAGGGTATGTGTTTCCCATGTGAAAAGCCAATCTCTATTTTGACAATTCCTGAAACCATTGTAAATCCCATATTGCTTTGCTAAGGACTATTGACTCAAAAGTGGCATTTGGCTTCCTCTAATACTAGTTTTCAGTTCAATCTATTTGTTTTAAAAGGGGTATATTGAAGGCAGAAATATTTGAGGCACATTTTTTCCTTTCCTTCAGGTCAAAAAAGGCCAAGCGATGGCAATAGTGGGACACTGGCAAAGAAACAAAAGCGTACTCCAAAGCGATCAAGTGCTGTAACCAAAAATGAAAAGAATGGAACAGGTACATTTGGAAGTGAATGTTTGTGCTGTATCATAACAAGTGTGTAGTAATCCATCCTTTTGATATTTATCACCATTGTACATGTGTAAGGGTTTCCTTGCCAGGGCCTTTAATTAGTGTTGCCTGGGGCACTGACTATATATCTAGTAGACTATACCAGCTATTCAGTATCCACAATATCTGGCAGTCTCATGACTGGTATCTTCATCATTTTCATTAGCATCATCTTTACAAGGCAGCTGTATGTGAGAAGATACCAAATATTTTACAGTTATCCTGGTTATATGTGTTCAGCTCAATTGTCATTTTTGTCCCTATGCTTGCTGAATAGAAGCACTTCCTTGAAAAGTCATGTCCAAGTGCTTCTAAGGTGAGAAAGATACATTAATTATAACTTACAAGAAAAAATACATAGAGTGAAATGAGGTAAGTACGACACCTTTTAGAGACAGGACTTTTATGTATGGTTGACGTTATCAGATATGTAACCTTTTTAAATCAGCTGCAGAAAGTCTGAATTTAGTCTTCTATACCCCCTTATAAGTAATGATGACCTTAGATAGCTAAAGGATTTGAATCAAATAGGTCAATAGAGTCAATGCCAACAATGGCATTGTTAAGATTTATGTCAAATAAATATTTTGGGTTCTCACAGTAACTGCAACAAATATTGTTCATAGGCTGTTAAATTATGCCTAATATGTGCAGAGTGAAGATTTCGGTGGGAACTGGAACTTAAAATTTTCTGAAATGTGAACCTTTATTTTGGCACTATTGTAAGAAGTTTTAAATTGTTTTTGTTTTTACAAAATAAATCTAACTATACACTGAAGTACAAGATCACACTGCATGTCCATGTGAATATGGTACAGTAGAACCTCAGTTAGGAACATCTCAGGAATGGAGGTTGTTCATAACTCTGAAATGTTCGTAACTGAAAAAATGTTATGATTATTCTTTCAGAAGTTTACAACTGAACATTGATTTAATAAGCTTTGAAATTTTACTATGAAGAAGAAAAATGCTGCTTTTAACCGTCTTAATTTAAATGAAACAAGCACAGAAACAGTTTCCTTACCTTGTCAAATCTTATTTTTAAACATTCCTTTTATTGTTTTAGTAGTTTATATTTAACACAGTATTGTACTCTATTGGCTTTTTTTGTCTCTGCTGCTGCTTGATTGTGTACTTCCAGTTCCAAATGACGTGTGTGGTTGACTGATCAGTTCGTAACTCTGGTGTTTGTAACTCTGAGGTTCTTCTGTATCAGAGATGCATACTCTACTGAAATGATCATACATTGTTCACATCTATAGGTAATTCGTGCATTTGCACTCTGAAAAGTGACTCTAGGGCCTTGTCTACACTGAAATAACTAAATGTGTTTTTAAGTCACACCTGCTTTTTTGACAGCAAACACACTTATTTTGGAATAAATGTCTGTATTATTTTTGTAGGTAAAAAAATCTACTTTGGCAGGGGCTGACTCAGTCCCTAACTGCTCCCACCATTGGGGTTAGAGGGAGCACTGGTGCACTTGAAGAGTCAGCTCATAATGTACCTAACAAAATTAGAAAATTTTAAACGGGTTTGTCAGTAATCTGAAACAATTTGGAATCCACAAAGGGAGCAGGGTCTTTTGAGTAAGGAAACACAATATTCCCTTTCACTTTTCTGACCATAACCACAGTTTATGTAACCTAGATTGTAGGGTTAGAAGAATACCAAAATTATAGGTCTGTCTTCTAATCAAAATTAATTTGTGTTATTACAGGACAAAGCAGTGATAGTGAAGATCTTCCTGTCATGGACAGTTCAAGTAAATGTACTCCAGTAAAACACATAAATGTGTCCAAACCACAGAAGCTTGCGCGATCCCCTGCAAGAGTAATTTCCCCTCACATCAAAGATGGAGAAAAGGATAAACAGAGAGAGAAACATCACCACAGTGCTTCCCCAAGAGTGTATAAATGGAGTTTCCAACTCAGTAAGAATTTTTTAAAGTGTGTTAAATATTTAAATCAGAGTTCAAAATTATATTAGTACAATATTCAGAACTTGCTATGTTCAGTTCCAAAAAGGCACTTGGCATGAATGCTCATTATCATTGTAAAGCCAGGTTTATTGGTATTTATTTATTTCTGTGCTTCACTTTCATACTATAAAAATCCTTTTAAAAATGGTATTTAAATTATCATCTTACTTCCCCCCATTTAATTTCCAGCATACGTTTAGCAGTTTATTACTTCAAGAATATCTAGACTGTGAAACTAGTATTTTATATAATTTGAAAATATCTGGAATCTGAGTTTTCAGATGGCATAATCCAGGCATTCATCTCTAATTCTGGGCTTATGGGCTGCAAAAATTCAGGTTGGGATTGAAGAATTGAGTTGGAAGAGCAAGATGACTAACAAAATTATTGTGTAGGGGGAGAACGGAGGAAGTTCTTTTGTTTTGTTTTTTGTTTTTAAGTTCCAAGATATTGTAACCTAAAACTCTGGGGATCTGAGACAAATATTTTAGAACCAATAATCTTTTTCCCCACAACCATTAGTGGAGGACTAATGATTATTCAAGGGAAAAAATTGTTGATCCATGTAAATACAGTATAATATATAAATATTTCATAGCTGTCTGTTCTTCTTCGAGTGATTGCTCATGTGCATTCCACAATAGGTGTGCATGCTTGCCACGTGCACCAGTACCAGAAGTTTTTCCCTTAGCAGTACTCGTAGGGGAACACCCCTAGTAACCCCTGGAGTGGCGCTGCGATGGCACGGTATAAGGGGTGCTGCGCTCTCCCCCCACCCTCAGTTCCTTCTTGCCGCCAGTGAAGGTGCTTCAGAGCTGCTCTGCTCCAGCTCTACTGTAGCTTTCCCTCTTTGGACTTTGTTAGTTCGTAGTTAGTAGTACCCGTAGTTATTTAAAAAAAAAAAAAAAAAAGTTTTAGTTAGAACTAGTTAAGTGTGCCCAGGCTTTAAATTGTGCGACACTTGCAAACGGCCTATGCCCATCAGTGATCCGCACGTGGACTTTTCCCACTGTCTGGGGGAAACCCATCTTAGCGACTGCTGCAAAATTTGCAGATCCTTCAAACCTTGGACCAAGAAGGAGCTGGACATACGGCTCCTAACTCCGACACCGCTGCACCATTCCGAGTCGGCACCAAGCACTGCAGCATCGGTGCGCGGTGACTCATCGATGCCCTCCACCAGTCAGCACAGCTCTCCATCCACGGGACAGTCTAAAAAGGCGAAGAAGAGGTCTTCTCCGCCAAGGCACCGGATCAAGCCTGGGGGAGAGACTAGACCCGCGTTGGGCAGTTCTTGGTCCCCATCGCCTCCGACTCAAGTAGAGTGGAGCAGCCCGGCCCACTCCGAGCCGACCTCCCCGGATGCCAGTGGCTGCATTTGGGTGCCCTCCACACGGGAGGCCCTGCAGGCGGCTCGAGACCTTATGTCTCTACCAGTACCGGCCATACTGCTGTCAACAGCTCCCTGATCCAGAGGCAAGCCGCCTCTCAGACACCTGCAGTTACCGCCTGGACGGTACCACTCATGGTCGAGGGAACGTTCACGATGCCGGTCTCCGCACAGCTACCGCCCTGTGCGCAGCGCGCGCCGGTCCCCGTCAACCCCCACCAGGTTGTCTGGCTGGGTGCTGAGCCGCAGGGTTTCCAGGCATCGCTCCACCTTGGGGGAATGTAGACCTCGTGATGAGAGCATGCCCCGCCAAGACCGAGACAGACGGCACCGGAGATCATTATCTCCGAGAAGCTATCGTAGCCCCTCGCGGTATGGACGTTGATGCCGCTCCCACTCTTCGTTCCATTCGAGGTCCCCGCCACAGCGCCGCTCCCACAGCCCCATGCATCGATCGCCAGCACCCCGCTATCACGGATCCATCCATTGGAGCCGGTCGCAGAGCAGCCGCTATAGATGGTACTTTCGTTCCTCCACACCGGGATCACGGTCTCATGTTCGGCACCACTCCCGATGTCGTCACTCATCCCCGTCCCTGGATAGCGGTCGATCGTATGCCAGCCCGGCCTCCCTTCGAAGTCGACACTTGGTGGGCCAGGCGGGGCAGTCCGCTCCAACGGTGCCACAGCAGGTGCAGTGCGATGGTACCATTGGGCCCCGATGCAGCCCCGGGTGGTGGCTCGCTCGGTGACCAGCGCCTCGGAAAGACCACCGGCCTTCCTCTCTCAGCCTTCCAGGAAAGGGTCAGCGGATCGCTCGTCCTCAGTCCCACACTCAGAAGGGAAACAAGTGGTAGGACCTGTGGCACCAGTGGGGACGCAGAGCACTGCACCACCATCCTCATCCTCCCCCGATGAGGCAATCATGGCCCCTCCTCTTCCAATCCCACAGGAGGACACGAAAGCCCACCAGGAACTGTTGAAAAGAGTGGCATCAAGCCTTAACCTACAAGCTGAGGAGGTGGAGGAACCCTCGGACTCCCTCTTCAATGTCCTCTCAGCCTTGGCATTGGGCAGGGTGGCAAAGATCTCAAACGCCCTGTGGCAAACCCTGGCCTCCTTGCCCTCCATCTCTAAGAGGGCAGAATGGAAGTATTTTGTGCCCGCCAAGGGGCACAAATATCTGTATACCCACCCCACCCCAACTCTTTAGTGTAGTGTAGGCGGTCAACCATAGGGAGCGTCAAGGTCAACCTGCTCCTACTCCTAAAAGTAAGGACTCGAGGAGACTAGATCTATTTGGTAGAAAGATTTATTCGTCCTCGAGCTTCCAACTGAGGATGGCAAGCCACCAAGCCCTGCTGGGCAGATACAACTTCAATTTGTGGGGCTCAGTGCCCAAATTTGTGGACTCCCTCCAGGAGCATGATAAAAAGGAGCTTAAGTCTCTGGTGGAGGAGGGTACAGCGGACGCTGCGGATACGGCTGCACGGTCTATGTCCTCCGCGGTGTCCATGAAGAGAGCGTCGGGGCTCCTGCTGTCTGGATTGTCCAGCGAGGCACAGAACTCCTTGCAGGACCTTCCGTTCGATGGCAAGGCCCTGTTTGCGGAACAAACCGACGAGAAGTTACACAGTCTGAAGGACTCCTGCACGACATTAAAGACCCTCGGCCTCTATGTCCCGGCCCCGGCCAGGACCAAGTTCAAACCACAGCAGACTCCCAGTCAGGCCACCCACTCCAGATACGAGCCCCCTTATAAAAAACCAAGGGACTATAAAAAGTGCCCACAAAGGCAATCCCAGCCTGGGCCCTCTAAGGGGAAGCAGGCAGGTAAGCGCTAGTTTTGATGGGATGCCCAGGGACGACTTAACAGTTTGTATCAAGGATCCACCCGATCTTCCCTTCTCCAACCACCTATGTATTTTCCTCCCGGAGTGGTCATGGCTGACCTCAGACTGATGGGTCCTCAACACCGTCTCCCGGGGCTATACCCTCCAGTTTCTTTCTACCCCACCCATCCTCGCTCCCCATCCCTCTTCCGGGTCCCCTCTCATGAGAGCTTACTTGAGCAGGAGGTGAGACGGCTTCTTTGCTTAGGAGCGGTGGAGGTGGTGCCGGCGGAGTTCAGATACAAGGGGTACGACTCACGCTATTTCCTTATCCCGAAGGCCAAAGGGGGGCTCAGGCCCATCCTGGATCTGCAAGGCCTGAACCAGTACATGGTAAAGCTCAAGTTTCGCATGGTCTCTCTGGCCTCCATCATTCCCTCCCTGGATCCTGGAGACTGGTACGCCGCCCTCGATCTACAGGATGCGTACTTCTGCATTCATATATTTGAGGGCCACAGGCATTTCCTCCGCTTCATGGTAGGGCAGGAGCACTACCAGTTCACTGTCCTCCCGTTTGGTCTATCAACAGCTCCCAGAGTCTTCACAAAGTGTACGTCTGTGGTAGCAGTCTACCTCTGGTGTCGGGAGGGTCCAGATCTTCCCTACCTCGACGACTCGCTGGTCAAGGGCAGATCCAGGTCACAGGTACAGGATCATGTAACACTCCTCCTGTCCACATGCACCGCACTGGGGCTGCTGGTAAACAACACCAAGTCCACATTGGTACCGGTGCAACGCAGAGAGTTGATTGGGACGATTCTGGATGCGACATTGGCCAGAGCCTCCCTCCCACGGACAGATTCTAAACCCTAAGGGAGCTCATCGGCGTGGTCACAAGGTTCTCCGTGACGACCACCAGAGCGTGCCTCCAACTCCTGGATCATATTTCGGCATGCATGTACGTGGTTCATCACACCAGGCTCAGGATGCGGCCCCTTCAGCTCTGGTTGGCCTCGGTATTCTCCCAGTCCAGAGACAGGATGGACAAAGTAGAACCTGTGTTAGCCTCCTTACGCTGGTGGTCCTCCCCGGGGAACATGCTCCAAGGAGTCCCATTCAGGGGCCGGTCCCTGACTGTGGAGGTGGTGTCCGATGCGTCGGACCTGGGATGGGGAGCCCATGTGGAAAACCTCCAGACCTAAGATCTGTGGTCCGCGCAGGACCTAGCCCTGCACATAAATGTCAAGGAGCTCAGAGCAGGCCATCTAGCCTGCGTGGCCTTTCGCTCATGCCTAGCGGGCAGAGTGGTCAGGGTTCTCACGAACAACATGGCCTCGATGTTTTACATCAACAGGCAAGGCTGGGTCCGCTCCTCAGCCCTCTGCCAGGAAGCCCTCAGGCTGTGGGACTTCTGCATAGCCCACAATATTTCCTTGGAAGCCCACCACTTACTGGGCGTCCAAAACTCTCGGGCGGATTGGCTGAGCCGGGACTTCTCCTCTCAGCACGAATGGTTGCTGCACCCAGAGGTGGTGCACAGGATTTTCCAAACATGGAGCACTCCCCAAGTGGACCTGTTCGCGACCCGGCAGAACCGCCGGTGTCCCCGCTTCTCGTCCAGGGAGGGTTGGGCATGGGCGCGATCTCCGACGCCTTCCTTCTGCCCTGGTCGGGTCAGCTCTTCTATGCCTTTCCACTGATCGGCAAGGTCTTGGAAAAGATAAAGACGGACAGGGCCCGTGTCCTTCTGATTGCCCCGGCATGGCCCAGGCAGCATTGGTACGGGACTCTCATGAGCCTGGCATTCGCCCCGTCGTGGCCATTGCCAACCCGCCCGGACCTGCTCTCCCAGGACCAAGGTCGCCTTCTCCACCCCAACCTAGCAGCCCTCCACCTCACAGCGTGGCTGTTCAACGTTTAGGCCGGGAAGAGAGGACTTGCTCGGAAGGGGTTTAGCGCGTCCTGGAGAGCAGGATGCCCTCCAAGCGTCAGGCCTACCTGGCGAAATGGTCTCGGTTTTCCCGGTGGGCCGCTGATCGGGCATCTCGCCAGTGGCTGCTCCGATCCAGCTTATACTAGACTACCTCCTTCACCTTAGAATTCAGGGCCTAGCGCCCTCGTCCATCAAGGTGCACCTGGCAGCCATGTTGGCCTTCCACCCGCCAGTGCAGGGCCACACGATATTTTCTCATGCCATGACCGGTCGATTCCTTAAGGGTTTGGATCGCCTCTTTCCGGATGTTAAACCCCAGTCCACCAGTGGGACCTGAACTTAGTGCTGGCCAGGCTAACTGGACCTCCATTTGAGCCGCTTGCTACATGCTCTTGGTCACACCTCTCATGGAAAGTAGCCTTTCTGGTGGCGATCACGTCCGCTAGATGGTTCTTGGAGCTCCGGGCCCTGACCTCTGAACCACCATACACGGTGTTCCATAAGGATAAGGTCTAGCTCTGTCCACACCCTTCGTTCCTCCCTAAGGCGGTCTCCGCCTATCATATGGGCCAAGACATTTTCCTGCCGGTGCTCTCTCCAAAACACTATGCGTCCAGTGAGGAGCGCTGCCTCCACGTGCTGGATGTGAGACGGGCTCTGGGTTTTTACCTGGAACGTACAATACCATTCAGGAAGTCTTCGCAACTATTCATCACCATGGCCGAATGCATGAAAGGTCGGCCGATCTCCACTCAGCGGCTCTCCAACTGGATCACTTCGTGTATCCGTATTACGACCTGGCAGGAGTTCCCCCGACACCAATTGTGAGGGCCCACGTCCCTATTCAGGACATCTGTAGGGCTGCCACGTAGTCATCGGTCCACATGTTCACTTTGCATTATGCTATCGTCTCCCAAACCAGGGAGGACGCCAGGTTCGGCGCTCCGCCCAGAGTGTCTGTGAACTCCTACCCATCTCCAACAAATATAGCTTGGAATCACCTACTGTGGAATGCACATGAACAATCACTCGAAGAAGAAAAGACAGTTACCTTTTCCATAACTGGTGTTCTTTGAGATGTGTTGCTCATGTCCATTCCATATCCCGCCCTCCTTCCCCTCTGTCGGTGTTGTCTGGCAAGAAGGAACTGAGGGTGGGGGGAGCGCACAGCGCCCCTTACACCGCACCATAGCGGTGACACTCCAGGGGTCGCTCCCCTACGGGCACTACTAAGGGAAAAACTTCCGGCACCGGTGCACGTGGCGAGCACGCACACCTATTGTGGAATGGACATGAGCAACACATCTCGAAGAACACCAGTTACGGAAAAGGTAACTGTCTTTTTTCATAAGGAGCACAAGTCTTGCTAATCTACCATAATTAAAACACCTTGGATTAAATGGAATTTAATAAGAAACTTTGTATTTTGAAGGGAAAAAATAAGCATTGTGGAAGTGCATTATTGGTTTGCATGTGATGTTGCATTATCGTTTCTTAAAATCACCATCGTAAAGTAACTTTTCCCCACACTCTTAAGATGAACTAGACAACATGAACAGCACTGAGAGAATCTCCTTTCTACAAGAAAAACTACAGGAAATCCGAAAATATTACATGTCCCTGAAGTCAGAAGTAGCAACAATAGACAGAAGAAGAAAACGATTAAAAAAGAAAGACAGAGAAGGTAACTATCCAGTTTGCTTTACACTCAGACCTCCCTCTCATGAAATGTCTGTTTTAAACACGTAGACCCCAAAACATTACATTTAATTGACAACATTTTCTGCAGCCGTTATTTTAACTTTTTGGAAAAATGGTTACTATACGACGTTTAACTTGTCTTCTAGCCATACAGGATAAAATTAGAATCCACAGCATAGTTTGTTTTTCAAATTTTGTACATATAATAAATTAAAATCTTGAATATATAAAATTTCACTTTAAAAAGACAAGGATCTGGCCTTCGTAATATACCCTGGATCTGGGTTTTCACAAGTAGCATAACAGATTGACTTGTCCCTTTATGATTTAAGGCACCGAAATGATAAGGTTAGCTATCCAGCTTATGTAAACAGAAGAGAAGAGTAATGGGCAAAAATAATCTGGATCAGTTTCATAAGGCTTTTTGTAGTGAAAGTAAATCTTATTTTTAATCCAGTAATATTTACTCATCTCCATGGTATCTGAGCACAGTATAGAAACATAAAGAAACTAGAGTAGTTCTCTAAAACATTAAGGCTTTGAACTTACTAGTCGACACATGAGGAATCCACTTGTATTTTTTTTATAACAGGACTTTGAGAGGTCTTCCTGTACTGCTACTTCTCCTCCATGCCTATTTTAAATAAATAAATAAATAAATGACAGTAATACTCATTAAAATGAGCAACTAGTAAGGACACTATGTTGAGCCAGGGATAATGGGTTCAGGTACGATGTAAGCTTCTACACACAACTCTGTTGACGTACCTCAAACCTGACAGGCCTCACTTGGGATCTATTAAGTTGTTTTGTGTGTGTACAGACACTAGATCTGATATCTAAGCGAGCCTCCAGTGTGAAGGATACTTTGACAGTCTCATAGACTCAGAGACTTTAAGGTCAGAAGGGACCATTATGATCATCTAGTCTGACCTCCTGCATAACGCAGGCCACAGAATCTCACCCACCCACTCCTGTAACAAACCCCTAACCTATGCCTGAGTTATTGAAGTCATCAAATCATGGTTTAAAGACCTCAAGGTGCAGAGAATCCTCCAGCAAGTAACCCGTGCCCCACGCTGCAGAGGAAGGCGAAAAACCTCCAGGACCTCTGCCAATCTGCCCTGGAGGAAAATTCCTTCCCGACCCCAAATATGGCAATCAGTTAAACCCTGGGCATGTGGGCAAGACTCACCAGCCAGCACCCAGGAAAGAATTCTCTGTAGTAACTCAGATCCCACCCCATCTAACATCCCATCACAGACCATTGGGCATATTTACCTGCTAATAATCAAAGATCAACTAATTGCCAAAATTAGGCTATCCCATCATACCATCCCCTCCATAAACTTATCAAGCTTAGTCTTGAAGCCAGATACGTCTTTTGTCCCCACTGCTCCCCTTGGAAGGCTGTTCCAGAACTTCACTCCTCTAATGAAGTCTGGTGCTGATGTCCTGCTTTATGTATTTACAGTGTCTCATACAGGAGCATCCATGTCATCTGCTTCATCAGACACTGGGATGAGTCCGTCATCATCTTCTCCTCCCCAGAATGTGCTTGCTGTAGAATGCAGGTGATACATATTTCTCTGCCTTGTCAGCAGTTTGCTGCCATGGACATAAATCCTGAAATATAACCACAAAAAGCACTCAACTGGTTTGACATTGCCAAGTACATTCTGTACACTCTTCCACTGCTGGACTGTATCTTTTTTTCTCCCTCCTGTTTTTTTATTTTATTTTATTTTTATTTTTACTGTTGAGAAATTAAGCTCATTGGTAACTGAAGGTTTGTAGGCACCGTCTGACATGTTTGTCATCGTGTTTATTGTTTTTTTGTTAATACAGAGAAAGGGCACTTATCAGATTTGAAAAGTTATGTCCAATGAAGCATTCAGGTGTTCTAGGAAATCATAGAAAAGCAAGTGCATCAAACAGACATCAGAATATTATCAAACAGAATCAAGTTACTGCTGCACTTTCACCCAGCTTGTATGCTAACCCTTGGTGAGTAGTTCCTCTTTGTGGAAGCACTTGCTATACAGAACTGCCAAAGTATGTGTTCAGCAATGTGCCCAGTTTTAAAGATGTAAATGGGACAAAATAAATTGTGAAAGGAAGTGTAGTTGACTGAAAACTACAGTTGTAATAAGTCTTCCACTTTTTATAGGATTTTTGAGCACACAATTATGCAAATATTTTAATGTTTATTAATGTTTACAGTGGAATTGTGAATAGGTTTTCAGTGGACTATCTTATCCCTTGACAAAAATATTTTGTCTTTTTTCTATGTAATTTCAGAGTTTTTATTTTGTTACAAAAAGACGAAAAATGAAATATATAACAACAATGAAGTTATTTAACAAGATTTCTAAAGCTGAATTTTTTTGTGTAAAATAAGGTATCTTGCAACTTGTTAAATATATTTATTCAGACATTGGATGTTGTATTTTTATGTATTTTTTAAAATATTAATAAAATTGGAAAAAAATTCTAGGTTAGTTCACTCTTTTGAAAAAACATACCTATCAGTTGTAGCTCTTACAGGAGGTTTTATCCAGTAGCCATGCCTGTATGTGCAGTGGGTCTGTTTATTCTTCCACAATGTAGAACTGTAATCGGGCATCTGGATTAAACTATAACCTTGTTTGGAAACTTTGGCAGTCCTAGTACTTATGTTGTTTTGAGGAACAAATTTTATTGGGTTGCCCTTAAGATGCTTTGTCACAGTTTTTATGTTTGCTATACTGCCGAATGAATTTATATCTCCCAAAGTTGAGATGCAACAATAAAGTAAAGCAACTGTGTATACTTTGTCTGTGGATTGTCCCACGGGCTGATGCAGTTTGTAAATAACTCTTCCAAAACCATGTATTTAAAACAGTTCGCATATACATTATGTATAAAAGTGATTTTTTTATCAATTTTTTATTCATGTTTGTACATTGAAAGGGGTTTTAACCCCTCTTTCTGTGTTTAAAATGCTGTAGAGTAATAACATAGATGCTCTAGACTGTATATCAGGATATTATGGTTCACACAGCAGAAAGTCAGAGCGAAACACTAGTGATGGGGGTAGCATTACTAAAATTGATGTTTCTTGAAACTTCATTTTACCACATTTGTCAACTTGTGATTCCAATTCCTTCCATTTTCGCAGAGAATTAAAGAAAAAGTACTCTTGTAAAATGCACTTTTCCGTCTTTTCTTAAGCAAAGCATAACCATTTCAATGTAAGATAAAATGGAGTTCATTAGAGAGCATTAATAAAGGCCATGTTTTAAACATAGGCTTTATATTTTTTTATTTAAATGATTGTTCTTGTAAATCTACTGACATCTAAACAATAGAAAAATCAAACTTTGTTAAGTGTTGTAAAAAATGTTCAGAGCTAACTTTCACTGTTAATTTTATATTAACTATGAATAATAAATAAAAATAATACTCATTTATTAAGGAAAATAACACGGGTCACATATTTTCTCAAATTAACTTCCATGCTTAATATTTGCAGAAGTAAATCTTAAATGTTGAGTGTAAATAATTCCATGTATTGCTCTTGGATAAGTTTACATCTTGTGAAAATATTTAGCCTGTGTCTAAATACTACCACCATTTCTCTAGAACAGCTAGAAAGATTTTGATGTAAATCACCATTTCAGATGTTGCAATGGATGAGCCTCTAACATTCTGTACTATAGCATAATTGTTCAAAATGAACAACTTGACTGCTTCTCCTTCACCTTTGACTGGCGAATATATGGCCGGGAAACTCTGAAAAGGTGGGTAAGGCAGCCATTCAGTGCTTGAATGTTAATTAGGAATTTGGTTTTTGCAGACTAAAAAACGGGTAAAAGAAAGAGGGCTTTTCTTCTTTTCCTTCTACTGTTTACCACTGGTACTATCTCTAGCATGTATTGCTTTTCTAGTCTGCCTGCTAGAAGAGAGGTATATCATTTGGCTAGACTCCCCAAATACCTGTTTCAGTAGATGTCTAAAGTTTTCTATCGGAATTATTTTTCTCTTTTTTTTAAAGGCTACTAAATGTTCAATAGGAAACAATCCTGTAACAGCAGGGAGATGGACAAGATGATCTAGTAGGCCTTTCATTTCCAGCTTTAAGTACAATTCCTTTCTCCTCCTTCGAAAACAATTGTTAAATATCTTTCATTGCCTTAAATAAATCTGGTGAAGAAGACAGTGATTATGGCTGGTATTAAAATAACTATCTAAGCAGTTTTGATACAGCTAATAATGATGCTTTACTTTCTGGTTGTGCTAGAGGATTTTTTGGCAGGGTTATTCTTCCCTTCTCATCTCTCCCACTCTCATCCCAAAACTATATACTTCATTTGGAAGATATGTCAAGAGAGAAGATTGGGTCAAATTCTGCTTTTTTACATCAGTTGAAGCTCCATTTCAGTTGACAGAGTTGCACTACTCCTAGCAGCAGAATTTGGACCTCTTATGTAGCTGAGCTACCAACAAGAGCCACTGAAGAACAAGTAGGCACATTAGAAAACTGCTGTTGTGATGCAAGATAGCTCTAGGAACTGAAGATTGAATTGGTGTAAATCTGAAAGATTGAAAATGTTCTAGGAATGTGAATTTGAACCAATATTCAAAGCAGAAGGTTTGTTTCTATCTTGAAATAGGTGTCTCCTTTCTTCCTCTGACAGCTAGTTAATATTCTGTTTCATTAATGTAATCAAAAACACTTAAATTTCTCCAGACCCTTAAAGGTACTTATTGTAGAGAAAGACTCCATGCTTCTGTTTTTGTTTCCACACAAATGTTGTAGGAGCTATTTCATGGTCTAGCATTAATGATTTTAAAAAATAGTTAAAAATGTAAGTTTGTTTATCAACATCCTGTTAAACCTTTTTCCTGTATTTCCCTTCCCACCACCAGTGTTTGTCCAATGTATCTGACAGTAGCTGTCTCTTGCCTAACCAATCTGAATAGAGCAGAGATGTTCAGAATAGTGACAAATTGCAATTTCACAAGCACTGAATTGTCAGTGCATAAAGTGAGGAGGTGGCCTAGACAAAAGAAAGTTACACCCACTTACTTAATAATTAGTAATGAAAGGAAATTGTGTTAAGGGAAATTAAGAGTACATATTTCAGCAAAATATAGTGTCTTTAAAGTTTCCCTAGACATTGGCCCTTTAAATTAAAGAACAGCTGCAGAGCAGCAAAGCTGATGATGTCACTTCCTTATAGTAGTGGCATTAGTACTTACAACATGTTCCATTTGAGGATCTTGAAGTGTTTTAGATAAATTGATGAATTAAGCCACCCAACAGCTCTTTGAAGTAGGCAATATCTTTATTTGATACATGAGGAAAATTGAAGAGCAGAGTGGTTACCAGGGTGTTATCAAAGATGACTTTGGGAGAACCAGAAAGAGACTGCTGGTACCCAGTCCTGTGTCTTTACCACAAAACTATCTGGCCTTCTACTCTGGTTTCTCTTACCCAGCATGATGTTTGTCTTTGAAATGCAAATATGCAAATTAAACTTCAGTTATATGATTCCATCCTGTATAATACGTTCACCTTCTGTCCCTGTAAACAAGAAGAATACTCTTTTTCTCTCTTGGGTTTATGTGGATACTGAATTGTCTTTTTTGGGTGACGTTTATTGGGATCTGCTGCCTACAATGTCTTCAATTAATTTTGAACAGAAATGCTTGCTTAGTAGTCTAGCCCCTCTGCAGAAAATCCCACATAGTGTGAACAAAAAGCCCTCTGAGATACGTGCAGTTTTCCATCATGCTATGCCAAGGAGTTTATTCCCCCTCTCACAGCCTGTGGAATGAGCAACGGAATTCTCATATCTGTCCAGATCTTAGCAGGTCCACGGACCAGTAAACCAGGGCCATTCATGCACTGAAAATGGTTTCTCCTTTCCCTTTTCCTAAGTTGCATGTGTTTTCAGGCAAATTGAATGTAGCGAGTGGTGGAGCTGTGCTACCAAAGCTTCCCTTTTTCAACACTTTTTTCATGCTGCAGAAACCTAAGAAGGAAGGCCAACATTAACTCGTTCAGTGGATTCCTAGGTGGTTCATGGAGGTGGTGAGGACAATTTGGTCTACTGAGCCAATTTGTTGAGATAACAATGGAATGCTAAACAGCTCCAGCTAACACAGAATTTTACCACTTTGTTTCTGCCTTTTAAGTGTGTGAACAGGACAGAGCTAGCTATTTGCTCTACCATGTAACTGTTCTACAGTTGCTTGTGCTTAGCTCTTTTAAGCTTGCAATTTTTTAAAATTACCTGCTACCCTATTCCCTTAAAATGCTAGGTAAGGACTGTTTTTTAAAGATGTAGGGAGCATGCAACAATCAAACATTCATGAAGCATATGAGGATGACCCAGCTGACCCACAAACATTCATGGATTTCCATTCTTCAAATACAGATATTTTATAATTCGCTCACATTCCCTAGTATTTATCAAGCCATTGTGCTCACACTGAGAAATAATATATTTACTTGATTGTTGAAATGTTAGAAATACCAGTATGCTTTCTTCTTCAGCGTTGATGTCTGAGGATGTATCTTAAAAGGATATGTATTAAATTTCCTAACAATTGTATTAGGAGTACTAAATTTAAACATTCATATGGTCACTTCTGAATATTGATGTATTGATACATGTGTTAATTTTTGGAAATCTAGCAACAACCAAATTTCCATGAGCTCTTACTTATTAGTCTCAGTGTCTCTTTTAATTTAATTTCCCCAGTTTTCCTTGCTTCCGACCCTTGGCCTGAAAATATGCTGGCTTTTTATTTTTAACTTTGACACTGATGTGCTAGTACAATGGAAGATGTATATCAAATGTTGTGTTTTTCTTTGAGTATATGTCCCTGTGAATGCTCAACGGAAGGATGTGTTTGCATCTGCGTACTCTTGACGTAGTGCTTGTGAGC